ACTTGCTGATTCCATTGTAATATATTATGTCTGTATACTAACATTTCAAAAGGGGAAAAGTCTGTAGCTACTTTAGATATAAGTTACCTATTATTATTTTTCAGTTGATTTGCTATTGTTCACTTATGATTAATTTGCAAGTTCTGCTCAAAGTGGCTAAAGGTCATAGAAATGATAATATTTTGTATTTGATTTCTGTTAAACCTCACTGAACCTTACTTATCACAAGGAAGCTAAAACAAGCAAAACATAAGATGTTTAAAAAGATATATCTAAACATATAAAAATTCAGATTTTGTATTTAGGTTTAAGACAATACATTAAAAGCACAAATGATCAAGGAAGACTGACACTGTATGGGTCTCGTTAACCTCATACGCCATCTGTATCTATGTCAAGTATAAAATATAGTATTTTGTTATTTTGTTTATTACATAACATGGTGCTCGGAGAAAAGCAAAAAGGATTTAAAAAATTCTTTGGCGGCAAACTAAAGTTTATCGAATAGCATACAAAAACAGATTTATGTGTTTTCCATAAGAACACAGAACTGAAATTGTGATGTGATATTAGAATACTTTCTCGAATTATGTTTTGTTAACGCTTCTTACTTATATTTATATCACTAAGATGTAACTGTAAGTTGTAAGTCAATACCTTGAAACTTTGTATAACATTTTTTCTTAATATAACTTACTGTGAGTAATCAAAATATGTTGTTTTATTCCTTTCTACTCAAATTAGTACTATACCTCCGACCTGAATTAATACAATACATGATACAGTTGCAGCCTCTTTTTAAAAATCGATTATGCTTAATTGTGAACTTTTTATTTATTCTAGACCTCGGGACTGCGAGTGCGAGCGCAATAGTACCTACCGCGACCTAGACAAGGAGTAGGAGACTGATTGGTTTTAGTCAGTAAGAGTGACATTCCCTCTCGCCACATAAAAATGAGCATATAGTTCGTTCCATAATTAGAGACAACGATTTGACATTTCGAGTGTTGCAAGATTTTTCCATTTCATAAATAGTGAAGTCCCGCGACCGGTATTGACCGAAAGACCGAAATTAAATTCTGGACTTCTTGCATTTAAAAAGCTTTATTATTTTTAGATACTTTCGCTGGTACCTTACTGTGCCCGTACTAACTCAGTCGGGTTAAAATCACAATGGTAAGGAGGCAACCGTAAAATAGTGACCCACCTTTAAGCAGCTATCAGTTCACGACGTATCGTTCATAATTACTCTTCTATTTCCGGGAAATCTCCAACAGCTCGGCTTTCAGCATAGGTTCCTCAAATACATATAATGTTTTTCTTTTAGCCAGTCTTGGATTTGGCATTTTTATATAAAATTATTTTTATTAATTCCACTAAACTATAAAAACATCACCGCAACGTTGTTTTATTTTGCTCAGGGTATTTTATAAAGAAACAGTATTTTATTTAAAACATCGTAATCGGGCCCATCACTATGTTAAAAAATCTGGCCACATTATTTTGTAGTTTGACATTTGCTGTTGTCAAATTGTTGTCTCTAATTATGGAATGAACTATAGATTACATTATTGTAGGCAGGTAAATGTTTTTTGGTGTCCTGTGATGGCCGATCTATTGAAGCTTCAAATGCGTGTGCTTTCGAAAAATCTCGTGGATACTGGGTCTCACATATAAATAAGCATATTAACGCCAAGCTTCTAATCCCAGGGGGAATTGATTGGGATGCATACATGTTCCTATTACTTACTTTGTAGTACCTATTTCACGTCATTTATATTCTGCAATAGAAGGCTATTTCTAAGACAGTTTAAAACTAACAACCCTCAAATCAAGTTTGCACTTTAACTGGCAGGGTGGCGTGCAAGGCTAAACATGATTAATGCAGGATAGTTCCCTCATGCGCTCCGCCTCCTTTGCAAACATGACTGCTTTGCAAAAAGAGGTGATAACTTCTATTTAGACCGGACGTGATAGGTCGCCGTCGCTGATCACTTTCCTGAGGATACTTGGTGCTCAGGGCACACCGCCAGCCTATGTTCCGACGATACCTGGTTGTTTCATCCCCCTGGATCCGAAAAAGTTACCCCCCAGGGTTGTAACGGTCACTTTGGTACACTATGCTCTGAATAAACGGATCCCACACTAGGATTTTCTCCTGTGTCGTGGGTGCGTTTACAAACATACACAAGACACCCAGACCCATAATAACAATTTGTGGATCACACAGCGTTGTTCCGTGCGGGAGTCGAACCCGCGACACGTTGCACAACAGCCAATAACCTAATTAACCAAGAAAAATGGTTATTTACCAGCCTAAATGGCTATCATATATCACGCTATTGTAGGAGCCGAGCAGGGGTTGAAACCGCGCGAGATTAGTTAGTCCTTCATGCCCACCTTAAATATATTTCTTATTGTGTTATGAAGTCGAAATACTTTAGTTTTAAAACAATATTATTCAATAAAAAAGTGCTTTGTGGGATAAAATTATAAATAACATGGTTGGCACTTAGCACCTTATGAACACGTCGAAGAAAATTTGGCTAGTTACGTGCCTAGCATCATACTATTATTATATATAAGGTACTACTGGGTACTACCAATTGACGAAACACTATTGGGTATAAAAAACAATGGCATACATTGAAAAAAAAGTTTATTTATCAAATGTTACAGTTGGCAAGGTTACATTATGACAAATACTTTGTACCCGTTAGTCCTGACCGGAAATGAGATTGTTATTCCTCTGAACATAATATTTTATAACAACCTTAAGTTATTAGATAAGAGCAGGCGATTAGTGAGCATCGAATAGTTGCGTCCTCGCCGCGAATTTTACATTGCTTGGTTCAGTGCGAGAATAGACATTTGTAGATTGTGGTGTGGCTTCGAGGTATGAATCATATGACAATATTGTTCGTTAAACTAGCTTTCAGTAAAATTCAGTCTATAGTCACCAGTGGCCCGATAAGTTACGTGGAAATAAAAGTCCAACGAGATGGGGCCCGGCAGAGGGAATGTGAACATACACCTACACTTATAAACATTAAATAAGTACGACCAGTTACATCTATGCTTATCCTAAAGAATCATAAAGTAGAAAATCTGGCGAACAAGTTGTTCTATAATTGTGTCTTCATTAAATTGTTATTATTCTTAATCGTATACTAGAATGATCGAAGTGAGGTGGGCGTTAGCCGCGGCGGTACTGAGAAAGTGTACAGAATACCATATGGAAATATCTAGTGGGAGCGTCATACTATTTCAAAATAAAAACTAAAAGTTAAGTAGTGTAGTGACCCCACTTCAGTACTTCAACAGGGCTGGGTAATGAACTGAGTGACGTCATGAGATAATTAAAATCAGTGTAAGTTGTCATTCGATGTATTAGTATAGCCAAGTTAACAGAAAGATTGGAAATAGCAGAAGTTATGAATAAGATTTTGCATTATACTTTTCTTCTTTACGGCACATAGTTATCTCAAGTATCAAAAGGTACTTTCGAAATACTGAAATTAAAAAAAAAAACTATTTTATTCCTTGTACTAACTCACTGATAGAAAAGAAGTTAGAGATCAATTAAAATAATTATTAAAAAGTTATGAAGCTAGCTACATTTAGCTGCTTACAATCTATTATGCATAGTAATGCTAAGTTATTTTATTATAGGCTCAATTTACAAAAATATCCCGTTTAAACCTTGACTATACTGTATACTTATGTACCTGCCATATAAAATGTTTAGTTCCCTACTGATGCACTTTCTCAATGACCGGCACAAATTCCGCGAGACTGGTTTAACAAAAACTGGTAATGTGTCTATTGTCAATCACAGTGTATAAACTTTGCGAAAAAGTTATTTACAGTTTGGCGTGCTCCTATATTCCCTGCGAGATATCTGACGGTGCACGAATGTTGACAAACTATAAACACCTTTTCAGTCCTTCGACAACATAAACTGAGTGCATATACAAATATACATCAGGGTTATAATGTTGTCAAAGGAACAATAAAACCAATGGTTGGAATAAATTGGTCATTCAACACTTAAAGTTGTGGATGAGTATGCAGCAAGATATGTAAATATAGAATTTAAATTGAATTTGTCTAGGCTTACTTAAAGCAATTTGTTCAAATGTGTTTTTGTGCTGTGAATTTAGCAATTTATTCCAACCGAGGTAAAAAAACAATCATAAGTTTGAATGTCTCACGAAATTCGTATAGGTTCGACATCTATACACAATAATTAATTTATTAAAATTACATTTTAAAAACCACGTGCATTGCACCAGTATAAAAGTAGCGCCACGTGAGACTGATAATCAATGAATGTGTTTATTGTAATTTGTAGCATAAAACTTACTACCCTTGTAAGTCCCACCGACTTTCTGGAAGCTACTTCCTTACTGAGGCAACTACGCACATTTTAAAACCTACTTTAACTTCTTTTGCGACAGTAAATACTGAGCAATGCAAATTAAAACTTATATTAAAACCGTATTTACTAATTATTATAATATAAAGTAATTAAAAATCAAAAAGACCTTAATTTACAGTCAAACATAATTCGATGGATAAATCAGCACTTGGACTTTGACGATCAAATGAACGACGAATGACGTTACTAACTGACGTATAGCGCAGTCAACAATATTTATAACTGGGTATTAGTGATTTTGTCAGCAATGGGCGCAAGGTTTATACTTAAACAAGAATAAAAAGCTGAAACTGAATAATTTCCAAATACGTCAGAAATATAGAATTAAGAACGAGAGTGACCCTTATTAGTTCACTTTGAGGTATAATATCAGTTGTATTAATCACAAAACAGCAAAGTTCTACTATAACAATATTACTACAGACGTACAGGAAACCGGAATATAAGTTATCATATATTTAAAGTAACAGTAGAGAAAACAAGTGACATGGGCTTACAATTTAGGTGTTTACCCGCGGCGAATGATCTGCCTAGAGTTGGTCTCTGTAGGTGAAATTGCACTGGGCTTGGGGACTCTAAAAGTCTAAATTCTCAAAAAGATCTTTATAAATTCCTGTACAATCAATGCAATGAGCTGTCGTATCAATTGAGTACTCAGTCAAAACATATTAAATTTTTGCAATACACTCAAATTTAATACATTGATTGTTTTAAAATAATCAAACTATCACTGATTGATTTTCCGATTTACTTAGTATTCTTGTTTTACCTAATTTCCAAGAAAAAAATATGATTTGTCACGTTAAACAACATGATGTCACAACACACAGTCCTATACGAAACACTTGGCAAATTTAAAATTTTGTCTTTTCGAAAAGAGCAATGAATTTCTCAAATGCTGTCAAGTACCAATAATTTCCCAAAAACTGTTGTAGTTTATCTATAAAACTAATTTTAATTTTGTCAGCAATCAAAGCAGATCGTTCGACCATCGGAAAACAGACGTTAACTAGTGTACAATTTAAACATTTCAACTATAACATATGCAGTCAATTATCTAAAAGAGGGAAAATTTTGACAACATCTTACTTGGATTCTAAGTAACATGTCAGGAAATCGTTCATTATAGATAAATTCAAAGTTCAAATTGAATTGCAACTAACACCATTACAAAATTATAAAACATACAAATCTTACTAGTTAGAAATTATGATACCTACTGGACAACAATTATAATCGACTTGGAAACTATAAATTACGATCAAATTTCAATAGGCCGGCTATTGTAACGTGTGGGTAGCATGTTTGTTGAGAATGGGAAAGACAGGTTCCATAATTATGTTTACCGGGTTTTAGAAATCAGAGAATGTGTCCCAATCTCAACAAAAACAGCCCGTAAAGACTAAGAGGCGACATTATTTCTAATTTTAATACAGGAAAGGCATGCTTAGGTAACAATACTTGAAATTTAAATGCTTATCAATGATAATTATTATAGAAAATTGTTCATAGCTTGTGGACAGTTAGATAATTACATTAAATGTCGTCCCTTAGTGGGGTTTGTTCTGTGTTTGTGAAGTTGAGGCAGTTAGGGATTGAAGGTAGGCATGGAGGCTAGCTTGGCCTTGACCTCCTCGCCAGCGTCATCACAGAGGAGCAGAGTGTGTGAGTACCCCATAGTGACTTGAGTGATGTTCAGCCCTTCCATGCGGGTCACCTCCTTGGGGCGCGCCGACGACTTATTGATGTCGCCTGTGCCCTGTAATTGTTAGCGCTTCTTTTTAGTGTTAAAGTGATAATGTTATGTTACTTAGAATAATATCATTTATATTGACGGTAATATTTCCAGATCCGTGTAGACATTGTTAAATGGACTTCAGTTTATGCTGCTTCTTCGCATGGATCAGATGTTATTAGGTGTCAGCTCATCGTAGAACTGCACTAGGTATAATCTCTTCACTTTTTAACTTGAGAACTTTTATTTGAATTTTCAAGTAAAGGAATCAATCTCATAGCTAGCCAAAACAGAAAACATAAAAACATTTTCACAAATTCCGTGATCATCACAACCAGATTTGGATAAATCACTTGTAGATCATACAGACTTGAATTTGAAACTAACTAACTGCGTGATAGCAAAATTCCCAGTTACTGCAATAAAAATATAAATAGTGTTTGAATTAAACTGAGCTCTTACCAGTTCCCCATAGGTGGGTGACACGCCCCAGGCAACGAGCGAATCGTCCGCTGCGATCACGATCGAAGTATTGCTGGTGCCAACACTGCGGATATTCCAACCTGAGGATATTCACAAGTTAATGTTGCAGTACATACTTATGTAGTTTTTTCTGTGGGGAAAATAATTCAATGATTTCTCCAGCTCAGTGTCCTTCATGTTCCTTCTCCTGCTCTGGGCCCAGGCAACAGTGCTTATGGTTGTAGTTGGCATATTGTCAAACATGGACTTAGGCCGATGATGTTAACAAAACTCAAATATAGTAAATATAAATATTATTCCAAGAAAGTTGTGTCAATACTAACTTGCAGACAGTTATGCAAAAGTATATAGCAAAAGTCTCAACTACACAACCATCCTGTCAATTTAATATTGATGAAAATAATATTTTTTTATTACTTATAATACGACATGCATAGCTGTTTTTCTAGTTAGAAAACAAATCGGTCGAGTTAGCATTTATATTAAACAAATCCAAAGTCTTACCACTGAGGTCCTGAACTGGTTTTGGGTACATGTTCGCTTCGCCAGTACGCTTAGTCTGCCCGAACAGGAAAAGTCCGCCTGTCAACAATAACAGTATATACTGTATCATAAGAGAAAACTAAAAAAAGATTAATTTAAAATTTATTACACTAGACTGCCCATTCCTAGGTTTCATAAAATATATATGCAAAGTTTCTATGTAAGAAATAGACCTGTGTATAAGAACCGTAAGAATGCCCATTATTCACTTTATATAATGGCCTCTTATTATTTTCCGATTTACACAATGTGAGCGACAAAGTGTATATAAATAAATTCATTAATGTATTAGCAAGAGACAGTTTATGTAGGATGATTTATATCTTGTACTAGCAGTCCGCCCCCGCTTCGCACGGGTCCAACTATCTCGCTATCAAGGGGTCACTTTTTCCCAATTTTCCCTTCTACGTTTCTAATATTATCTTTGATAAAAACCTTCTCCTGACAATAACAAAGACAACAAAAAAGAATTAGCAAAATTGGTCCAGGCGTTGTTGAGTTATGCGCTTACCAACACATTTTGCGATCCATTTTTATATATAAGAAGATAAGATCGTAGTTGAAACTAAAGTAGTGGTGCCTTCTTCTGTGAAAGTACCTATTTTGTTGGTTACACCAGGTAACTAACTAAATCAATACTTTCAATTATTTAATGAAATTTCTTGAATTTTGTAAATCCTTATTTGTCGTCTAGGTTTTTTTACAAAATTGCGCGCCGCTCATGAACAAGAGTTAGAGCTTTCTTTAGGAAACCCATTTCATTTTCATTCACTTAAGTAACCCCATCCCATAATGTTAGATTATTACATTTTATTTGTTTTCAATTCGTATTTAAAGAATGTTGGAAATCCTATAGGACAACAGGCAACTGACATTTGGCTACTGTACAAAACTTAGGCCTGATGTTATATTTCTCATAAAAACCTGTATATAGAAGATGTTGGCAAGCATTTTATAAATAAATTAGCTTCCGCCCGTGTGGTATGTTGACAAAAAGTAGCCTATGTGAATCCAATGCCTGTGCCAAGTTTCATCCAGATCCGTCCAGCCGTTTTGGCGTGATTGAGTAACAAACATCCAAACATCTTAACTTAAATAATATTAGTAAGATTGTGTCACGATAGCTACAAGGCGTTGTGTAAACATAAAACTATTTATGAATATTACCATGTTCATTAACAGCGAGACTGTAGGTGCCGCCGCAGTGCACAGAACGTACGCCGCGCGACTGCGAATCAAAGTATTTGATCATACGCGGGACACTTTCGTCTTTCTGCTCGGCGTGACCCAGTCGTCCAAACCCGCCGAAACCCCAGCTGTAGGCACGCTTCCTCGAGTCTATTGCCACCTGGAACAAAAAATATAATAGTGTCAATTCTACTGAAATATTAGTTTTTTTCTGTTATTTTTTCTATTAGAACAACAATGATAAAATAAACTTTTGAATTTAGCTCATATATATTATATACAATCGAAACGTAAGAGATACCATCACAGACTTTTCGATTGTATTATTGTAGACGTTTCGACCTGGTTGCACAGATCGTGGTCGCAAGCAGACAAGCCTACCAAGGTATTTAAATAATTCTTTTTCGCGTTAATACCCGCGTAATTATATTACGTCGTAAACATGAAACGCGAAAGTTTAAAAATTAGCTGTGTAGATTTGGAATTGATAACTTGATGACAGATGCCACATGAGGTAAACTGCTGAAAAAGCACTTTCAAATGGACCAACTGGAAATGAGCGGCATCCGGCGTCTTCCTGCGACCTTTGTCACATAACTTGAAACTTACAGTGTGATTGTTTCCGCAGGAGAAGTCGACGATCTCTACATCCTTGACGATGTTGATGTGACCTTCCTTAGTCTTCTCGAAGAAGTGGGCCACGTGCTTCGGAACCGTCTCGAAGTGGAACGACAGCTTCGTTGAGGTCACGAAGTATTTGCCGTCGGTGTTGTGACCTGTATTAAAAATTATTATGATTATTTATAATAAAGGTCCTATATTATATAATATTTACTTTGGTCTAACACTAGACTATAGTGGCTAGTGGGGTTTAGGTAAGATTCCTGAGTAGGTAAATGTACCTTTTGTTTTATCGGTAATACCTAGACTAAAGTCTTTAATTGTGGTGTATTTCTAAGCATGTCAATACGTTTCGTAAATAAACAACAGCGCCAAACTCCATAAAGGACTGCAGTGCATGATCTGCAGTATGAGGGAGTGCTGAATTACAAATTCACATGGAAGGTTTGGTTATTTAGAATCAACCACTGTATTGTCTTACCAAGCTGGCCATACTCAGGCAGTCCAAAGGAGTGCAAGGCTCCGTTACAGTCCAGAATCATGGAGAACTCAGCTCCACAGCCCACCTTCACAACTGGAGCACCACTGCAATCATAAGCCATATTAGCCACAACAAATTCACTTTCAAACATCCTCCCCAATGCTTTCAGATCGGTCAGTTAGTGCAGCTACAAGCCCATAGTGACAAATAAGTGTTTCAACTTGACTGTAAATCCTGCAAGCCAAGATTTAGAGTAAATAAACAAAAATTCAAATAATGCAACCTGGTGTATCCCATGGCGTGTGCCTTGGAAAACTAGGATTACACATCAGACGTTGTTTTAATGTGATAGGACGGCGAATGAGCCGACGGATTGCCTGATGGTAAGCAATCAGCGCCGCCCATGGACACCCGTTACAATGGAAGAGGTACGCAGCGTGGCCATATCACTCCGGTTGAGCCGACCCATTCGAGCCGAAGCATGGCTCTCTAGTATCAAACCATACGACATACCTAAATAGCTGAATAAATAAGATACTTGCCTGTAGCGCACTCGTGTAGGTTTCAACACTTGCGGCGTAGTGTTCCCGATGCCGCACTGGCCGCATTTGTTGTCACCGCAAGCGTACACAGTACCCGTGTCTGTAATAAGAATTTAATTAATTGAAATGAATTTATGAAACAATTAAATAGCATAACCAGTAGTTCTATAGCATTCCTTAGTTTTCTTAATAAATACTAAGGAATGCTATAGGCATTTGACTGCACGGTTTAGCTTTTCCTAAACAAAATAAAAACAAATTAAGGTTAAAATCTATACCAGATATACCTTACGATCAATAAGCAATGGGCTCTTGGGGGAAGATTGAGCTTACCTTAAGGTTAAAAAATTACCTGTAACGAAAAGCGTGTGGTGTCGTCCAACGGCAGCGTGGATGATGTTCTTCCCGCGCAGGGCGGGGACCGGCTCAGGTACGTTACGTGTCACAGTGTCTCCAAACCCAAGCTGACCGCAAGTATTGCGACCTGGTACCAAAACAAATTAATCATTAAGAAAGTGGTCCATACAATTATGTATACATATTCACAATATCTGTTTCACTTGTTTAATTGATATTGTATCTTTTAACAAGTCTAGTTGCGCTGATTTTCCACTAAACTCTAGTTTTGGAAGAGAATGCAATATGGCATTAAGACCACTGTAAGAACTTTTGTTTATCATTAATATATGTGTAAATATACAAAGATGCAGTGTCCCTACACTGACGCAGTAGAATGAACTTCATATGTATGTAACAGAGATCAGACAACAGCATTTACTGATAAATGGATCCTTATAATCTACAATCCCTTATCTGCCTGCCAAGCTTAGAGATCTCCTTCATTCCTCTTTTTGAGAGTTATAGTTAAGACAAGACTAATTAGGGCAAACAAAGGCGTCCCCCATTTACAGATGGGTTTTGTAATTCTCCTTACACTTTGAAGGTATTGGTTGACTAATGATGGTAGTCTTCATACTAACCAAAAGTGTAAACCTCTCCATGTTCATCCACCAGCACCGAGTGGCCAGCAGAACAGCTACTGGCAATGAACCGGTACTGCAATATTAAATGTTACTATATTATTAACTTGGTTCTATATGTATGATAAATAATTTTTTAAATATACACCTAATGTGTTTCAGCTCAGCATAACATCAATTATATAGTTTGCATAAAAAAATACATAATAATACATAATACATAATAAATCTTAATTACATATACACATAATTTTGATCTACATCTTTGTATTTACTGCAAGTTTCCTGGGTCAACTATTAATTATTTTGGCTATTCATTACAGAGAATTATTAAAATACAATACTTTCGATTTGTAAGATAAGATTTTTTCGAAATAATAATATTTGAAGTCTGACGTCATATTATGTTGCGTGTACATACAAAATTCATAGAAAGGAACTGATCTTGACATTTCCATAGAAGTATTGAATTAGACTGGTTGGAAACTGTCGGATTCTTCTTCAATAATAAGTACTGAAATGCTTTCAAATGGCATGGCATAACCTTAAGTATCGTCAATCCGCCACAATTGCTCTATCATTATTAGCAATAGAAAGATGAAGCACAGATAATGCTAATGCAGCCAGATCAAATCTGACTTTTGAAGTTGGTTTACAATTGTCCACACATATAAAATCCTTTGTTGCAGTGGTCAAATTAAATTAAAATACTCTTCAACTACCATCCCATCCAGGTAGAACAATCTAAAGCATCATCAGCCTGATTTCGTCCACTTCTAGACAGTTGCGCCCTACGTTCAGCTCTTCTCATCTAACCACTGCCAGCCACCCTGCGGATATCGTTAGTTCACCTAGCTGGAGGGCGCCCTACACTACGTTCGCCTAGATGTGGTCTCCACTCTAGAACACGTCTACTCTAACGGTCATCGGTTCTTCGATAAATGAGATCTGCCCACAATCTACACTTAATTCAATCTCAGAGAAAATTAATAAAGGTTGGCGTTACCTTGCGGTCAGTAAATTTGTGGAAGGTGTAAAGATTGGGATGCGTTCTCTTTGTTGGGTTGTTGTCCCGGCGCGCGACGAGGTCCCACGACACCAGACCGGCGATCATCAGCACGCCCGGTGTCTTATACAGGGCTTTCAGTACCTCCTGTATGAACAAACTACTAAATTAGTCTTGTTTTTAAGACGTACTAGTTAAATCATAGGTCATAGGGTTTAGGTACAGCTTTTGATAAGCATAACATTTTGCGCAACGTATCGCAAGTGTCTAGTTAGGGATATCAAATAGCCTATTTTGCAGCTCAGATAAGAATAATTAGGTTGCTAAGTTTTGCAGAATTCTCAGGAATTAAATTGTTTAAATCATTATTTACCAAGCTCCAATAGTTGCAAAATTTTATGAATGATGGAGGAGGCCTTTACCAAATTTAGGAAAACAGACCAGGTTGTTGGTGTTACCAACTCGTCAGATTTTTAGATTAAGTGAAATATGTTAATATTGTTAAATGTGGTCTAAACTTTTCACTCAACTCTTAAGTCGATACCTAAAACAATAAATTGTCTGTGTTCAAGTTTTGTTGATAAGAACGAGATCTTACTTCAGGTAACCGCACAGTGGGTTCTTCTTGCATGGGTGACGGGCTGCGTTGCTGTTCTTCCTGGGGCTGATCCTCCACGGGGGATTCTTCGCTCTCCTCGTCTTCAGACACTTGCTTCTTGGGCTTCTTGTGCTTGTTGTGACGGCTGTTCCGCGGCCCCGCGTGTCGGTATGGTAACGGCTTGCCGTCCTTTGTCATACTGCCTCTGGGTACTGAAATAAATTACAATTGTTAACTCAAATAAATTGTATGTGTGTTTTGTATAAATTAATGTGGTCACAAGAGCGACTTAATGGGTGACGGTACCAATGTAAAAAAATAACACCAAGCCACTTAATCAAAGTAAAAATTGTGATGTTTGCGTTATTCAGCTTTTGCCCGCGACTCCGTTTGCGTGGAGTAGTGACTTACTGCAGATTTTTGGTATAAAAACTATCCTTTGTCCTTTTTCGAGTTCCAAACTATGTCTGTACCAAATTTCACAGAAATAGGTTCAGTAGTTTAGGCGTGAAGAAAAGACAGATAAACAATGAAACAATGAAACAATGAATTTATTTTTGCAAATAGGCCATAAAACGGCACTTTTACACGTCAATTTATATGTAAAAAACTAGATGAAGCCGGCATTTCCTATCTGACTACTCTGAGAAGAAATTCCGAAACAAACTCAGAGGTCAGTCTCTTTTCAAGTCCAGACAATGTAAAAATAACATAATGTGAGAGAACCGTGCAAGTTCATTCTGTAGTGGTCTTTTGATGAAAGAACCACACCAGTTTAAGTGGACCCGTTCTGAAGACAGGCACGCAAGTGTCAGTTTGCAACCAGCATAGCAAGTGCTGCTGAGTTGTCCGACGAACAATACCGATCTAAAGAACATTTGGTTGGGTCACGCAAGTACTCAAACTGTCAGAACGCAGATAACTGGTAGTCCAAAAGCGCGGCAAGTCTCACACGGTCCTTACACTAACAATAATAGAAAATAATAATAATGTCAATAAATAATTATAAAAATAATAAATAAAATAAAAAATGTCAAATAAAAATAAAAATGTCACAATAGGTGATAATGTCATTGTTAAAAAAATAAACGTAATGTCAAATTGTATATAAAAAGCGTAACTTATGTTACAAACATGTCAACATGACCTGTGCAGAAGTTACAGCGGCTCATTCCCAAGCCTGACTATCTTCTAAGTAGTCTTTTATTTTATAAAATGCTTTACAGTAAAGTTTAGCCTTTATTACACTTTTAAAATTATTGAGGCTCAAATTTTGAATATCTAAAAATTAATTAATTAATATGTAAAAGCGTATACATTGACATCTAAACGAACTACTTATTTTCTGAAGCCTGGAGGCGGGGACAACATATTTGTTTTTCCCCCTCGTGTTAATATTATGTATATCACTATGCTTCTTAAATAAGCTTTTGTTTTTATGAGCGTGAATTACATTTTCATAAATATATTGTGAGGCAACCGTCATTATCTTAGTTTCCTTAAATAATTCTCTGAGCGAATGCCTCGGACTAAGATTATAGATTGATCGAATAGCCCTTTTCTGCAGAACAAAAATAGACTGAATGTCAGCAGCATTCCCCCACAACAAAATACCGTATGACATGATGCTGTGGAAATAACTAAAATAAACTAACCGCGCTGTATCTACATCTGTTAAATTTCTAATATTTTTAACGGCATATGCTGCAGAACTTAGCTTCTTCGACAAGCCATCTATATGTGGGCCCCACTGGAGCTTAGCGTCCAGGGTTATACCTAAAAAGACAGGTTGTATCTACACATATAGACAGACAGAGTTACTTTCGCATTTATAATATTAGTTTGGATGTATAATAACTGTTCAGGGTAGACCCCTTTAGATACGAGTCACACTAGGGCTCTGTAAGGGTTGCAAAAGCGTTGTCATGGTTAACGATATTATAATACGAAAATTATGCCACAATTGATAATCCTAATGCATGACGTCATCCGGCCTTCGCATTTGTAATTTGTTTGTTTGTAAACTAAACAATACATATGTGGACAACAAACTATAAACGTTGTCAACAGTCGGTATTAGACATTTTTTGAACACGAACATAACAGACCAGGTTTCAGGTACAATATTTGTTTCATATATGTCATTGTAACTAGCACTGGCTTAATTCCATTTCCATTTGAATAACAAAAGTTTTACTGCGACTGTGCAATATTCAACAACGAAAACTGAGCAAAAGCACAAAGTTTTATTGAAATTCAAAGTACGCAGTGCAGCGTTTTAATCCTACGAGACGTCACACGTTAATTACAATTGTACATTTTGTGAAGAACAAGCACAGGGCAAAATTCGCTACCGAATATCGTTATCATACGCTTAATTCGTTTTGCATGCAGTGCCCTGGCCGGTACGCAAACACTTAACGCGATTACTTATACGGAGAAGCTAGGGTGGGGGCCACGTCCTGTTCCTTGCATTAATTAAATTGTTGGAGTTGGCATTGAAGTTTCGTATCACATCTCACTGTATGCAAACTTTAGTTTTATAAGATAAAAAACATGAAATCAGAGGACGAAGCTTTTTAAATGTTCATAATAACAAAGGCTAACAAAGCAAAAGTGTCATTTTTAATATTGGTGGTCGATGACCTGTTATAAATTAGCGTGAGCCTTTGCAAACCCCTTGGTTATATTGCATATATCCTTATATGTGAGTATCGAACATCGCAGCTAGGTCTCGGTGACAACAGTCTAAGTCCGATCGCCGTCGGCTTCATCAAATCATAACAAAATAATAGACATATTCAATAAAGAACCCCGTGCCGACAGATCAATAGTCTATTTAAATATACTCAAAAGCCTCTCGACTTAAGAAGTATTTCTATCGCTACATTACACCTAAGACAGACAGGGACGGTGAGATAGATACCTGACGGCTAATAATTTAGAAGATATTCGGTACATATTTTTCTTTGTTAAAAAACAAAGGTTACTATAAATAGATGCTCCCTGTCTGTTTAAACAGAATGTTGCTATACGCTTTCTCAATTTCATTGATTTATTGAGTTCTCGTAACGGCGAATACGATTTCCTCTATGCAAGCTTGGCAACCCATTATAAGTTAGTTGGTTTAAATTTGCTCGTCACTGATCTTAGCATCAGATTCGAACTAAAGATGTATTTCAGTGACATCCGATGTTACAGAAGGTTTCTGGGACGTGCATTTTGATTTCAAGATAACATTGTAAACTAGCACAAAGATCGTCTCATTTATTATGTGCACTTTTGTGTTCTTGTCAAAGAAGATAAAGGTTATTATTGTTGTCGTCTTTTGTCAAAACAACATATAAGATCTACATAGGCCAGGATGTATACTTTCGCATCTTTGTGTGAGATCAGGAAAATGAGGATATGACATAGCCTTGACTTGTACGCAACTCGACATGTTTATTGCATTGTATTGCAATTGTATCAAGTGTAAGCATCTAACAATATATCATAGGTGCAGTGCACTGCTTTACACGGACCGATTAACAATGTACTCGGCCAATTGGTCGCAATTGCTTGTAAGTGACATATTGTCACGCTAGCGATCACAAGCACGGTGCACTTTACCTCCGTGCTTGCTTGCGCACGAATGGGTCGACCTGTCCCGAGCCAGCGTGTTTTACTTCGTGAGTGGGGTTACTGGAGGCCTAATCACCCCCCAAAGAGCCTTTTTTATGGCAAACACGTAGAAGGATTACCTGATGGCAAGCAATCAGAGCCGCCCCAGGACGCCGGCAACGGCAACACCAAAAGACTTACGAGTGCGTTTTCGGCGTTTTTTATGAGAAAAAGGTTTCGGATATTTAAGGATTGAGAGGAGTCACACGGCGAAACACAACACTGTGGTTGTTTCACGCCGGTTTCTGTGAGGCTGTGGTATCACTCCGGTCGAGTCGACCCATTCGTGCTGAAGCTTGACTCTCCCACACATTAAACCTACAACGTAAAATTTAAACTCATCCAGTTTTACCGGTGTCCACTTGCGTCGTTGATAGGTGATCCATGTCTAGATTATCCCCAGACCTTCGTAGCACGACTGATAATTACTACTCAGCAAGAACGCATCACAAGTGTAGCTTGTAAATGCAGAGCTATTTTGAGTAATAGCATATGCGGCTTAGATTTTATAACATGTGATATAGCTAGCCCTCACAAGACTTCAGCCGGGATTGCGGATCCAGCGCAATAATGTACGACGGCCTCGACTTGGAGCAGGAGAAGGAAGAAGGAATGGGGTGGGGGGTGGGGGGTGGGGGAGGGGTTAGTCATAAGAGCTGACACTCCCTCTAGGGCGATAGAGATCATGTGCTGTGATTCCCCGCTCAAAGAAATTGAATAATTATTTTGTATTTTTATTCATCACGTGCAAGTGTGCAACGTTATTCCTTCCTTTGAATCAGTTTACGTCGACATAACTTTGTGCAGTAACGGCTAGAGTCAAAGGAAAATTTATTTTAATAAGTTTTTAATACAAGCGCGTAGGTATATTGTTCTTTGATAACTTACATACCTGTTGGATAAAACGATGCAACAGGGAGTTTTTATTATAACTTTCGTGAGACATTTTAAATTAATTACTTATTATGTTTTCGGCTTATTACGTGAGTAAGGCGAAAACATAATAATAAGGGAAGATTTTTTTGTAACGTATATCTAATTATCTAACGGACAATATTGTGTTGTGCTAAAACTGTATTCTTCACATAGGCGCCGAAAATGACAGATAAGGCGTAATACATACAGAGGGAACCCGCCTTATAAACATGGACCTATGAGTCCAACCCGCTCACCCATGTCATAACGTCTATGCTTGGCAGTATGACAATGACCACGTTGTTTTACACTAAAACTTTAAAATATTCGATTTAGGGTCGTGATATATTGATTTGAGATGTATAAACACAAAATATATGTAGAAGCAAAGATAAATACCATAAGAACGACGCAAATTCTAACAATATGTTTGCAGAGGGAATCGTATTCTAGCTAATAAAAGAAATTCGATATAGATGTCATTACAAACCTGTACAATTCAAAACAGGCAATTCCCTCAGTTACATTGTAATATTCATATTTCAATAATGTGTATGCGAAGGTAAACATTATACAGATATCTTAGTAGATACCTACATTGTATTGGTGTGGATAGGCGACGGTAACAAATTGAAAAAGGTGATACAAATGAAGAATTTCAGCTCACGAACATGGAACTTGAATTGAATCTACTTTAAGGTGGTTTAAAAAGTATAAGGTCTAACGATTTTCGCGAAAAGTATAAAGACTAGCGACTAGCTAAAACGATTTCATTACGATCCAAAACGAAGGAACATTTTACGAGAGTTCTCTAGTAAGAGAGAAATATAATTATATTTCTTCAACAATTAAGTACGTAGTAAAAAGGTACCCTTACAAATATAAAATGAATAGCAACTGTTGCAGTAGTTCCTTTACAGAAACCCAACAACTATTGAAAAGTTTCAAAACTCTTTACGTGAACGATGTGGTTTATTTTTAATTAAATTTTAGTAAGAGTTAAGTAGACAGAAATGTATAGGGCAGGAGGTAGGTACATATTGCTCTAAGTAACACAGTCGACATGTGCCACGGTATCGAGGTGGTTTTTATAATTATATTCTAGTCTGTCTTCCCATAAGTGTGGTTGCTTTACAGAAGTTCATGGGGCGATGATGGTGTAACAATAGAACGAAAATACGCGGCTACCGCCCAAATTGAGAGACAATTAGATAGACAGGGTTTTTTTTTCAAAATCAGAATCGAGGATATTCATTTATACAGTCGACAAATTTTATGGTCAGAGTTAAATAAAAACAATCCTACTTATTACTAAAAGAACTCATTGATGGTTTATTCGATAGCGTAAAAATGCAGGCATTTCAGTAACGAATTGCTGTAACACTCCGGTAGGTTATGCAGTACTTTGTACTGCATGCATTAAGGGAACCCACTCAAATATATGAAAATCGATCCTGCGGCTTGTTGAACACGTGTAATTATTTTTGTTTGCGGTTTTCTGTTCTTCGTTCCGCTTCGAAAATAATGACAGTCGACTAGCATAATGTGGGACCATCGACATCTTACCCTAACACTGCCTAGTATATAAAGTTTTCTTAGAAAAATCTTTTGTTTAAGAAAAACCGAATCTTAAAAATAAGGCAGAAAGCTCTTGTTTCATTGGTCAAACAAAACGATGAATTATGAATTCGACTTGGTGCTAACTTAAGTTCTTTGCATAGTATAGGCCGTGTCTGTAAGTATGATGACCTTTGTTCGCGAGCGCGCTGTAAACCGTTATTTTATTTTTAAATATGGAAATTTTCAGCGGCTCATCCTACCAAAGGATTTAGGAAAAATAAATCGTCGCTGGCAGAATTAAATCATAGATTTGTTTGAAAATTATAATAACACGATCGATCTTATTCCAAAATCTGTGAATTAATATAGGGTTTGACGGAAAACTAGAAAAAGTGATGTAAAGAATCGGTTCTAATTCAAAGATTTTGATATGAGGTTTATAATTTATTAGCTACTTATAAAAAACATTAGTCGCAACTGCTGTGTAGCGACAACTTGCGGTTGGAACTCTTCTGGTTATTGGTATAGAAGAATGCCTAGCGAGGGTTTTTTTTTATGTTAACACAACCGATACCGCTTATGGACCTCTAATTGGGTGGTTTACAGGCACACGATTAACACTTTTATGACGTTCAGCATTGATTGGCCTGCTGCAAGTAAACGGATCAATCAGAGGGCTAAATGCGGTAACGTTTCAATCGCTTTAACGTAAAGCAAACTAGCACTAGGCACTCGGTTTATGACTCGCGCTCTACTAGTTCACGGGACCATTTCCCTTACCGTTAGTTGCCGATGCTTACAAGGCGTGATGTTTGTTCTTACAAAATTGTTGTTTAAAACTAAAAGATGTCTTGTCTTGTCCTTTATCTTATACAGATTTTAATTAATATGTTTCGGTTTTGGTTGTTATTTTAGTTTTTTTTTATGTAATAATAGATCGGCAAACGAGCTGACGGATTACCTGACGGTAAGTAATCAGCGCCGCCCATGGACACCCGCAACGGAGGAGTTACGAGTGCGTTTCCGACCTTTTAGGGACCCAATCTCCAAATCCCTAGATTTGGAGATTGAGAAGGGAATGGGGGTGGAGAAGGATTGGGCCTCCGGTAACCTCACTCACACGGCGAAACACAATGCTGTGGTTGTTTCACGCCGGTTTTCTGTGAGGCCGTGGTATCACTCCGGTCAAGCCGACCCATTCGTGCCGAAGCATGGCTCTCCCACACTTAGTTGGCACATTTAGGTGATTTAGAGTATAAAAGATTATAGATTAGCGTTTAAATAAGTTCCGCAATTGCCAAGATAATTAAACGAATTTTCCTTCAACATTGTTATATGGATGACAAAATTTGTAAGTATGTATAAACGAAAAAAAAAGGCAATCTAGTCCCCTTGTATACATATAGAAGTTCGCATTGGTAGGCACGTAAAGAGATTAAAATATTAAATCATATGTGTATTCATGCACATAATAATGATATAATGAATTAGGATTTTTCCCACTAACTCAGTCAATACCTTCTTTCTTTTCAAATGCACACTATTTTTTTTTATATGGCGACACTATCGTCTCAAACCAGGAACACAGACTAGGCATATTTTATCATATCTATTAATTTAGAATAATCAGCAAATAAATCTTGTTACTGCTGTCTTCCTACGCGATTTTCTCGAAACAGAGGTTAGAGAGACAAAAAAAAGTAAATAAGATCAAGTACACTACTTGAAAAATATTTTTAAAGTATGCTTAATTTAGTTTTTAGACTAGAATAAATAAGTAGTAGTTTTATTAAGTTCTGTAATTGATGACCTGGACTTGGAAGTCAGAATGGGAACATTTAAAGAATGTTAAGCCGAAGCTATTATACATTTTGTGTAGTGATACTTAGTCTAAGCTTATTCAATGCTCAAATCTTACTTGTTGAAATAATAGTATAGTTATAGTAAGTTTTTAAGTTGCCCTACATAAAGACAGCAATTATTATGAAACTGAGTAGTATTTGATAAAGTTTCTATTTAACCAACTGACACATAATCAGATGTAATAAGTAAATACATAAATTTCAAGTAATTGGGCAAATCAATTTGAAAGCAAAAGGAATGATATTTCATTCCTTTGTCTGTCATTAAAAGTAGATTTCATTTTAAAGTGTAGATGTAATTTTTTATATAAACATGTCAGTTTAGCTAAGAGAAACTTAGTTACAGACAGCAAAAACATAATTCAGCTTTTTAATGTTATTATTAAATAAGACTGAGTGGTTATGAAAGATTTTTTTAAACTGTACGCGTAATATTAAATCTTTACCTATCAAATTATAAAAAAAATTGAGAATATTTATATTGCAAAAGTAGTTGTTCCATAGGTAAAGATCAATTTAAAATTGCTGGGGCAACTTATTATTGATAAATACGCTTAGCATCGCATAGCAAGAGAAAATGATTAACATAGTTTTAAGATATTATGCACACAGGAGCTTGTTGCCATATATATAAAAAAAATGCAAGAAAAGTTATCGATAACTAGCTTTTGCCCACGACATTGTTTGCGTGGAATAGTGACTTTCTGCAGATTATTGGTTTAAAAACTATCCTTGGAATAGTGACTTCCTGCAGATTATTGGTTTAAAAACTATTCTATGTCTTTTCTTGAGTTCCAAACTATGTCTGTACCAAATTTCACACAAATAGGTTCAGTAGTTCAGGCGCGATGAAGAGACATACAGACTTACTTTCGCATTTAATATTTATTTTGAATATTGACAACTTTTTCAATCAATATAAGTTGAATATTTTGAAAGTTATGTTTCTCTGTAAGTATATAAATAAATAGTGAATGATGATCATCACCTTAAATCTCAACTGATTTAAGGTTAATGTATTAATACACATTTATATTTGTATATATAAGATATATTTATATATATTATATATTTGTATTTAGTTGCGTCTTTTTTGCTGAATAATGATGTTTTGATGTAAAAACTGGAAAATTAGACAAAAATATGGAACAAGTACTCAAAAAGTATAAGTTATCAATACAATAAAATAAATACATGAAAAAAAGAGCAATCATAAGTTAATGGTACTTTTATGCTGTTAATGTATTCACTTCAACCCATGTAAACACACAATACAACTTTTGTTGTAGTTTTCACAAGCTAGTAACATAATTATTGAGTTTCAAAATAATTATGACAAAGGGAAGAATTACTAGATTTCAAGTCATTTTATTTGTAGTCGAAGGTTCGACTTTTCATAGGTAATATTCATAGTTTCCATAAAAGAAATATTTACAAATAGTTTTTATACAATCGTATACTATGATTGATTTAAAATGCTACCTATTTAGTTTACATAGTAAATAATAGAGTTTATTTTCGTAGGTAACTTATTAATCTGTATGTATGTACTTACTTCGGCTTAATTAAACATACGAGTTAAATTACGCGCGATATTTACAAAAACTTTATTATTGTATTTAATTGTCTATGATAAACGTAATCGAGTCAGTATTCGCGTTTCGGCAGCAGACATAAGTTTACAACAGCGTCCGTTAAGTAGGTACCTTAGCGCATCATCCATATAACAATGAAAAAGAAAACCGTTATGATACATTATAAAAAAAGAAATGTTCACAGATCTCAATTATAATCAAACCATTCTACACCACAACAGCCAATTATAAGTACACTGTTCAATAAATACCCATTTATTTCTTTTAAAGGGCATTTAAACATAATTTTCCAACTTCGAAGAAAAGACACAGTAGGTAATACGTGCCGACACGTGCAATATTTATCTTACGTCTCAATATTTACATTTTATAAATAAAAGAGAATGTAATCAGCACAAACATAATACATTATTGTTAAAAATAGCTGTACTTACTCATATTGAAGCAGAAACAATTGTTTAAAAATAATATTCAAAAATGTCTGTCACAAGCTAAGCACGGCAAAGTTATTAGTCTACTAGTGTTGGCAAAGATTTGAAGTGAGTGAATGAGCCAGTCATTATGCTACTCGCCATGTTTTTAGAGACGGGAATGAACGAGATTATGACATTTACTTCGTTCAAACCATTAGTCAATATTTTTTTAAGTATTTTTATTGATATTTTTATAATTATTTACATTATATATTTAATATTATATAATATTAAACAACTGAAATAAAACATATAAATTACAAAAAGCTAAACCTTTCACTTAAGCTTATTTTTATTTCAATCGACTAAGAAGAATATTTATTATTGATTATTATAAATAAGTTAACTTTCTCAAATTTAAAGATCAAGGGGATGTTTCTGGTGATTTTATCGTTAATTAAAAAACATACATATTATTAATAATGTACCATATTATTATTAATAAGTATTATTATTGTGTAATGACATGTTAACATGATGTAGATTGTCTGTGGTTTAAGAACCTTGTGCAGTTGTGTTTTAGGTGGTGTGATGAGATGACGATAGATGGCGCTTATTCATTTTATATGTTGAGTTGTATAACAAAATAACAAACCATACAAAATGAAGAGGGCTTAATAGTCCGGTCGAAAAAAAAATATGTTAGAGCAAGAGTATTGCGACCTTTTTTTTTAATCTCTATGCATTTTATGATAGTATTTTGAATTTTCTTTTTTTGAGTTGACAAGAGAACGTCAAGTAATAAATATGTGTTCTGCCAAGTGTGTTTTTACTAATATCCTATAATATATCTTTATGAATTTTTCTTCCAAGAGCTACTCTGTGAAGGAGTGTACCTACGTAGTATCACACTCCTTCAGGTTATGATCACCAGCGGAAATAGAAAGTACGATCATGAATAACTCTGGGAGCAGCGGCAATGGTACGCATATACAATCACAATCGTATCCATCCCAAGGAGTAAGTATGAGTTTACCAGCAATAGAGAAACTTGATGGTAGTACTGATTATAATACATGGAAGTTCATGATGGAACTTTATCTAATTCATGAAGACTTGTGGGAATACACTCAAACAACACCAGCTGCTAGTGATGTTTCCGGCTCTAAAAGAGATCAGAAAGCGAGGGCAAAAATCTGTTTAATGATTAAACCACATTGTTTGATACACGTACGTGAATCGAAGACTGCAAAAGCGGCATGGGATGCCCTGAAGACTGCCTTTGAAGACAAGGGCCTGAATAATCGATGCAGACTTCTTACAAAGTTGGTGAGCCTGAAACTAGAGCAATTTTCTTCAATCAGAGACTACATAACTGCCATAATGACAGTAGCGCAACAGCTACGTGATCTGGGCAAAAAGGTAGATGATGAATTACTTGCAGCGTTGATGCTACAGGGGTTGACAGAGACTTTCCAACCCATGAGGTTAGCAATAGAAAACACAAACATAGAATTGACTACAGATTACGTCAAAACGAAATTACTTCAGATGGAGGATACTTATCAAGCAAGTCCTAGTACCGTGACAACCGCATTACAAGCTAAAAATAAAAGTCAGAAAGATAAGTCACACAAGAATATGAGTAGATCACGTGTCGTTAAGTGCTTCATATGCAAAGAGAACCATAAGGCTAAGGATTGTCCGAAAAACCCTATTCAAAAGAAGGATGCCTTAACCTCATTAGCGTTAGCAACAGCAGCACAAGGACATGGAGAATGGATTCTCGACTCCGGAGCTTCTAACCACATGACAAATCGGAGAGATTGGCTTAAAGACTTTAAGAAATTAGACAAATCAATTGTAATAGCTTGTGCAAATGGAGAAACTGTGGTTGGTGAAGCAATTGGTAATGTAGTCAACGAGGATATGGACGTCTCAATTAATAATGTTTTGTATGTACCTAACTTAGCTACAAATTTACTCAGTGTTAGCACAATTGTAAATAAAAACCTTGTAGTTGTATTTGAGAAATCTGGCTTTAAGATAATCAAAGCAGATGGATGTAAGGTTTCCGGGGAGACCTTGTATGAAGGTACTGCAAATAACGGTGTCTATAAAATACAGTATTGTTCACAGGAAGTAGGTCTAGCTTCAACCGCTGCTGACGAAATAATATTGTGGCATAGGCGAATGGGACATCTAGGGGTACGGAACCTAATGTTACTTAAAAACAAAATGGCAGATGGGGTAAGTTTTTCTAATACTGCTTCTAAGCTAGAGTGCGAAGCGTGTGCAGTAGGAAAACAGACCAAGAACCCTTTCAAGAAAACTGGTGCCACTAGGGCAAGTGAGGTCTTAGGGTTAGTCCACACAAACGTGTGCGGACCCATGAGAGAGAAGTCGTACGGAGGCTCACGATATTTTCTCACATTCATTGATGATTTCACTAGAAAAACATTTGTATATTTCTTGAAAAGTAAAGGAGAGGTCTTTGAGAAGTTTGCCGAATTCGTAAAACTTACTGAACGTCAAACTGGAAAGAAATTTAAAATTATCAGGTCTGATAATGGCAAAGAGTTTGTCAATAAGCGTATGGATGAGTTCTGTAAAGCAAAAGGGATCTGTCACCAACTGACAATAGAGTATACACCCGAACAAAACGGAGTTGCTGAGCGAGCTAACAGAACTATCACTGAAAAAGCCAGGACAATGTTAGAAGAAGCTGGTTTAGGCAGAAAATTGTGGGCAGAGGCAGTCAACACCGCCGTGTATTTAAAAAATAGGTCTCCAACTAAAGCCTTGAGAAACAAAACGCCCGAAGAAGCTTGGACTGGAAGAAAAGTGAACTTAAGCCATCTCAGAGTGTTTGGATGTAAAGCTTATCTTCATGTTCCAGATCAGAAGCGCACAAAATGGGATCCTAAGGGCACAGAGTTAGTCCATGTTGGATATGGCGAAAACGGTTATCGCCTTATTAACCCTACGACAGGAGTGTTGCACAGAGGTAGAGATGTTATATTTTTTGAAAACTCAAAAGTACAGCTACCTGCTCCCGTTAATCAAGCCGTCCCGCTACCGCTGACGGATGTTACGGTTGAGTATGATAGAGTTTCAACTCATCATGAAGAGCCAGAAATTCCTGAAGAACCTGGAAATCCAGCTCTTGAGAATGTTGAGGTTGAAGATGAGGTTTGGGAATCATCTGACGAGGGGAATGAAGCAGATCCTGAGGATGGTCTTGTAGAAGAAGGTAGAGAGCTACCAGTAAATGACAATGGGCCATCAGATAGAAGATATCCGCTTCGAGAAAGAATACCAAAAGCATATCCAGATTTTGTAACTTACCAAGCAGTCAAGGCATCGCCAGACCCTTTAACTGTTCAGGATGCATTATCTAGAGAAGATGGAGACAAATGGAAAGCCGCAATTGAGGAGGAGCTGAGAGCCCTCGAGAAGAATAAAACTTGGACGTTGGTGAAGCAGCCAAAGTCGTGCAACATTGTTGATTCGAAATGGTTATTTCGAATTAAAGAAGAGGCGGGGGGAAAGACTCGTTATAAGGCACGACTTGTAGCAAGAGGATTCAGCCAACGGAGAGGAGTCGACTACTTTGAAACTTTTTCGCCTGTAGTCAGACATAGCTCATTAAGAGTCTTAATAGCCTTAGCCGCCCGTTTAGAGTTAGGCATAGATCAAATGGACGTTAAAACGGCATTTTTGAATGGAGACTTAAATGAAATCGTCTATATGAAGCAACCAGAGGGGTTCGAGGTAAGGGCAAGGAGAATTATGTCTGTCTTCTAAAAAAATCTTTGTATGGACTGAAACAAGCGCCACGAGCGTGGAACGCAAAGCTTCACTCTGAACTTATAAGACTGAAGTTCAGAAGATCTGAAAATGAGCCATGCGTTTACACCCGGTCACAGAATGGAAACATAATGATTATTGCTGTGTATGTAGATGACATTTTGATATTTTGGAACAATAAGCAAGAGATGTTCAAATTCAAAGAAGAGTTGAAGTCTAGATTTGATATGAAAGATCTCGGCAAAGCTGAGTTAATGCTGGGAATTAATATTGTTCAAGATGTCAACAAAATTAAACTGCATCAGGAGAAGTATATTGATGGACTCCTGAAGGCATTTAATATGGAAGACTGCAAACCAGTAGTTACACCAGCAGTACCCGGTCAACGGCTAGAGAAGCCTACACATGGAAGGAGACCAGATGAGAGAATTCCATATCGAGCACTGATAGGTTCGCTCATGTATGTAGCAGTATGTACAAGGCCTGACATTGCTCATGTGGTTAATTATCTTAGCCAGTTCAATGAATGCTATGAGGAACAACATTGGATTGTAGCAAAGCGAATCCTCCGTTACCTGAAAGGAAGCAAGACGCTTGGGTTGACATACAACAAACAAAAATACCCAGAAGTTGTTGTTGGTTACGCGGATGCCGATTATGCAGGAGACGCTGATCGACGTTCATATTCAGGTTCCGTGTTCCTTATTCAAGGAGGTGCAGTTTCTTGGCAAAGCACGAAACAACGAACGGTGGCTATGAGCACAGCCGAAGCAGAATACGTGTCGCTATCAGAAGCTGCAAAAGAAGCTGTCTTTCTCAAAAGGCTGATTGCAGAGATGACTGGTAAACAGGAAGAAACAATTCGGATTTTCTCAGACAGCCAGTCAGCAATTGCTATATAATCCTGTACATCACCAACGTACAAAACATGTTGATGTGAGATATCATTTTATACGCAATGCTGTTGAGTCGGGAGCTATAAAATTGGAGTATCGGGAAACAGATAAGATGGTAGCAGATGCTCTGACCAAGGCTCTCCCCAGAGGCAAGTATGAGTGGTGTGTGAATGGTATGGGATTGCGTGTATAAAGTAAAGATGTGTGTGTACATATCATATGCATGAGATTAAGGAGGAGTGTTAGAGCAAGAGTATTGCGACCTTTTTTTTTAATCTCTATGCATTTTATGATAGTATTTTGAATTTTCTTTTTTTGAGTTGACAAGAGAACGTCAAGTAATAAATATGTGTTCTGCCAAGTGTGTTTTTACTAATATCCTATAATATATCTTTATGAATTTTTCTTCCAAGAGCTACTCTGTGAAGGAGTGTACCTACGTAGTATCACACTCCTTCAAAATATTATTGGTATTGCGGAATTTCGAAGGATTGTTTATAAACGACCCGTAGCCTCAATTACAACGCAGGCCAATGGCAACGCAGGCGGTGTTTTGTCTGGCCGAGCCATCCTAATTAATCCCCCAAAATTACATTACAAGTGGTAAAATATAAAGGGGTTTTGTTAAGCCCTATTACGTAGTTAAATTCTGTGTATCGGTTTTAGCACTACTAGAGCTCTGGGCGAGAATTCTCTGCCTTAACTGTTCGAAACATGCCGAAAAATGACAAGTAGGTAGATATTAGGTACAACAAAGAAAAAACAAACTTGTTTATTTCAATTTTTTGTGTGTGTTACTAATTTAGTTCTTATTAAATATATTATGGGTAGGTTAGAATATGGCGATTGAAAAGATTCAAATCTGTAAAGGCGTTACCGTTTATAAAATGCAATGACGATTTAAAAGTATGAAAAAGCCTTTATGTTTGAGAAACGACGAATTTTCAGGGATGGTTTCGTAATCGCAACGGAAATGGTCACCGACTTTAAAAGTCAAACACGAATTCCAGCGATTCTGTCTCTCGAACCGACACTCTAACCGAACTTGCTCCTCCGGCCTGACCTTTCCTAATAAATCTGGAAATCTGGTTTGGTGACTTAGAAGCCGCAGTACCTAGATATCAATATTATGCAAGTGTGTGAGAGCCGTGCCGCGCTTCCGCACCCGCACCAATGAGTCGGCTTGACCCAAGTAGGTAGTACCAGGGCCGCACAGAAAACCAGCGTGAAACAATAACAGCGTTAAGTTTCGCCGTGTGAGTGAGGTCCAATCCTTCTCTTCCCTAAATCATATCCATGGGCAGCGCTGACTGCTTACCATCATTCGTCTGCTCGTTTGCCGCCTTTAAAACACATAGTTCGCCATACATGTAGTGAGTATACCGCAGTTCAGTTATGCCCAATTCATACGAGTCCCTTGACTAAGCAAATTCTTAGTCGATACTATAATTATATTCAATGAGCTGAGTTATAACAAAATATAGTCCAATCAAAGTAGCCACCGAAATAACAAAAATTTGGGGCAGAGCCAAAGTTTGGTGAAAACCTCGAGATACAGGTTTTTTTTTACTTGTAATAAACTAGTGCTTGACTGCGATCCCACCTGATGGTAAGCAGTGATGCAATCGTTGATGGTAAGGCGCACAAGTTAATAAATTAGGTGTGTTGAACTGTATTCTGAGGTTGAAATAAATGGTTTGTTTAATAGTCTTTTTAACAACTGGCTAGAGTGATGCCACGGCTCCTAACTACTGGCTGACGATCCAAAGAGTTCCTTTTCCGAGTCCAGACTCTTCTATCAGTCAGTCAGTTACTGTATGATGACCACCTTCGTGTTCTTAACCAAGAGACGAAACGTTCCGAAACAAATCGGTGATGAAAAAAAGTGAAGACTCATTTGTCGTTTAAATTAAAAGAATCGAGACCAAACGGCCTTATTATTATTATCATCTTTGCCAAACGTACATTATAATATGTTTAGATATTCTTCAGAAATTACGCTTGTGTTTAATAATAGCTTGTTTCTTGATTTTAAATACTATCTATTGTTTAGGTTAATTCTTCAAAACGTATCTACGGGGCAGGGCAGATCTTGCTATATAGATCGTAGACAGAGAATAGAGGTGCTAGATACATTGCTAAACTTATTATACCAACATAGATAATTAAAAGCTCTTAACTTTGAAATATCAAATGACAGAAATGTGACAATCATTGTCTAAACGTTGTTATCGATTTTATAAAAAAATATTAATAAAACATAAAAAAAACTAGATGTATTTAAACAAAATAACCATTTATGACTTCTAAAGACTACAGTTTTATAAAAGAAATGTTTTTGAACCCGTTTATCACAGGTACATGCTTGTTCCCGCTAGTGTATAAGTTTGAGAGGTATAAGTCAGTTTGTTCAGTTCGGGCAGCAGTGCTCTCCAATGAACCAAAACCTTGCGAATTGCTAATCTGATCAGATTATGGCTAACCTTGTTTTGTAGAGGAAGCCTATTACTCCAGCAGTATCTTGGGCTATTGAATCTGACTAATCGAGTACTTCAATATAACGTGAAGTTCTTTTTGGGCTAATATCATGACTGTTTTAAATGAGAGATAGCTTGTCTCTGTTGGCCCTTGAGTATCTTTTCTAACAGTGGCTAGAGTGCACCATAGATATCGTTGGAAAGCGCAGAGGATAATCCTACCCCTTAAAAGGCTACTAGGATATAGGTATATACCCCATTGTACTATAAATTTAAGCATTTTGGTACAGAAAACCTATTTCAGTTATGACAAAATATGATCGTAAATAGGTAATTCGTATTGTATTTTTTTACAGATTAGATTCCATTAATAAAAAAGATACATTGAGTTATGATTACGAGGGGAACAACAGGAAAAACATATCATAATTTATATTATGATATATTTACACAATTAATAATTTAAATTCAATAATTACTTAAATATGTAATGTAAATATTTAAAAATGTTGGATTCCAAAACCATGAGTTCCTATGACCAGAAAGATGAACTACGTTATTCTAACGAAAGAAAGGAGTCATGTTTCGTTAAAGATTTAAACATTACTGTCTATAAGAAAAACTACAAACAAATAAAAACTAATCCACAACCAAGTTTCATTTATCATACATCAAGATTATATAGGTTCAAGAAACAAAAAAATGTGAGGCGACACTCTAGCCTGCATAAAAGAAATGATTGTAGAAAATCGTGTAAGAGTTATGCAGTAAACAAGGAAAACAAATACAAGAGCAACCTTTTTCAATCAAAGTGGGTTGTTAACATGGTGTTCGAGCGTCCATTTAATAGGGCTCTAGGCCCTTTTAACAATCCAAATAAAAGTATATGCAACATATACAGATGTCAAGTGACTGGTCCAGATAACAAATGTTGTTGTTCTTGTGATTCTGATGCTATTTTTCAAGTAATGAAGGGTCTGTATAGTTGTTACAAAAAGAAAAATTGCCTTAATTGTAGTTGTATACTTTGTGGTGACCAAAAGTTGCAAGATGAAATGCGAACAAATAATGACAGACCGTCTGAAAAATTCGCCAGTTTATTGACACGGTCGAAAAGAAAAAGCGAAGCCAAAAGAAAAAGCAGACAATCAGCTACGCACGGTATTCCTCCTCAAGGCGACCAAACGCAATCAAAAATAGACTTTCCTGGGCTGGCTCTAAATTTATTTGGTAAACCTTCAAGAAAGTCTGTTATACCATTGGATAAAAAAACTTCAACAAAAGAAGTATTAATCAAAGTTAAAGAACCTGTAGACACATTGCAAGATGCTAAATTGGCAAAAGATTTAACACCATCACATAGAAAATATCTAAAACACAGAGAAAAACTTCTAAGGAGTCTAGTGAAGAACGACTTACCTCTACCTGTAGGGAGAACAGAATCTGAAAAAAAATTAATCGAAACAGTTCGAAATAATTTAGGTCTACCTCCGGACCCTGAAACTTTACCTGAAATTGAAGATAAAGCCTTAATGAATGCTAGTAATACAACGATTCTTGAAGGAAAACCACCAAATAAGATGAACAATGCTATAAGTGCAGGCGATCCAATTCCAGAAGGTGAAACTCTATTAAAAAAAGATCTTATGAACAGATTAGTTGACCACTCCATATCTAAACATAAAATAGTGTTAGAAAAAATGAGACATAGGCAATCTTCTGGATTATTAACACCACTACAAGGAAAATCTCCTGAACAGAAAGAAAAAATATTGAAAGACTTAGTTACAGCCGGTCTTCCATTACCAGAACCTAGAACAGTGTCCGAAAAATATTTAATTGATAGGATTAAAAATAAACCAGTTTTGGCACTTAAACAAAATACATCTTCGGTGAGTACAGCTCTGGAAACCATGACTCCAACAGAAAAAGAAATTATATTGAAACGACTAAAGGATGCAGGATTACCCTTTCCAGAAAACAACAGAAAACCAAAAGACCTGGAAGTAAAGATCCGAACAGATCGAACTGCTGGAATAATCAAGCTACTTGAAGGAAAAACCCCTGAAGAGAAAAAAAAGATATTGCACGCTTTGATTGCTGCCGGTACATCTGCAGATAAGTCAAAAAAAACATCATTTGATGAAATGTTGCCTATTAAGAAACCATCACAAGAATCACCAGAAAAAATGCACGTCATCGCTCTTAAACGCAGTCAATTATTGAAACCATTGGAAGGAAAGTCTAAAGCCGAGAAAAAGAAAATAGTGAAAAGTTTAGTTATAGCCGGTGTACCCCTACCAGAAGGCAAAACGCCTTCAGAAAAGTCTTTGATTCACACTGTTAAAGCAGAAATGGGAATACCCCCAGTGAGAAAACAGTCAAGTCATAAGTCAGTAATCCTAAAAGCAAGGGCTGAAGGTCTTTTCTCAACAATAACTGGAAAACCACATGCGGAGAAAGTAAGAATATTAAAAGGCCTGGCTAAATATAGTTTACCTCTACCTGAAGGTAAAACACTATCTGAAAAAGAGTTAATAAAAAAAATTAAAAATGATTCCAATTGGCTGACTAAAATGATGCGATTTAAAAACGGTAGGTCGAAGAAAAAGTCTTATGAGACAAAAAATAAACCACGAATGAGACTATCTCAAAATTATCAAGCCGTTATTAACACAACAATGTGTGAACGCGGATGCGGTTGTGACAAAAGGAAAATAAAATTTAAAGACAATCACACTGAATTTAGAATGGACTTTCCGAATGTACCTGATTTTTGTGGTTGCCCTGGAGAATGCAACCCAGGCGGCAAGAGGGGATATTTTGTCGACAGTAAGGGAATAAAAATTATCGTTGGTAGTGCTGCAGGTGCTCCATCAATTTTGAGAGAAAATATAAATCAGATAATGCAGAATGGATTATCTTCAAAACCTTACAGTTGCGACGTAGACAGAGCCTATTCAAAATGTTTTAATGTCTCCAAAAGTATTTGCTTTATTAATGATCCATGTAATTCTTGTGGCAATGGAAGTAGCAAAACACCATGCTACAGGCGTGCAAAAAAATGCGTTGGACTAAAGGTACATAAGAAGCATCTTCAAAAAACAGCTCGAAATGAAAAAAATGTTAGAAGATTGAAATCTGAATCAAAATCAGGCAGTTCTGTATCCATTTTAGTGATAAATAGTGAGACTTCTTTAAGTTTAGGCACAAGTGGCAGTAACAGTATGGAAACAATATCTGTGACGTCAGATTTAAGCAGCGACGTCACTTTCGATTCTACAGATTATTCCGGCACCCCATCCTGTGAAGACATCAGATCAACGAGGTAAGTTAATTATTTATTTATTTAAATAGGTACATTTTAAGTCTTATAATACATATACAACATGACCAACAAAATTTATACACATATTTTGTCTGCTGGATCAAAAATATTTTTATTACTTATTTTTTTATAAAATATATGTAATTAATTCATCGTACTACTAGAATAATAATAAAGAAATGATCAACTTTATGCTGATCTTTTGTAATATATAATATTTTACATGTAGTAATAGTCGGCCAGTCCAGATAATTTGTAAGTATTTGAAAACATGCATTTTTTGCATGAAACATTATTTTGAAGGAGAAAAAAACGCGCCCAATCCTATGACAAAATAAATTAATAAAATGCGATCTGAACTCGGAAAAAAGAATTTAAATGGTTTATGAGAATTGTCCCAAAGACAACAATAAATTGTGGGAATATGTTCATATAAGTTCAAAATATATATTACAGTTTTTTAAGCTATAAGCACGGGACTGCACTTAATAGGCATATTGTAATGAAGTAATTTGATATGTATTTATGGTTTTTTTCTTAGCTGCAGCGAAGAGTTCATCAATCAATATGAAGACAAGAAGAAAAAAAATATTTGTGCAATAAATCCACAGCTTGAATATGCTGTTTTTAGACTGTCCGAGGAAAAAAATCGTTTTGTTAATAAAAGTACTAATTTTACAAGGCCGCGTGGAGTTACAGGAAATATTATTGTAATTAATCGCTTTTCAAAAAAAATTAACATTTCGAAGCTACTAGATAAAGTACTTGCAAGGAAACGCTTCACTGAGGCTTCCTCACTATTCGTAGTAGTCCCAACATCTGATAAGGAATGTATTAAAGTTGTCGACTCGACTAGCGCTTGTTCAATGGACACACCGCTGGTAGCAAAATCTGGTGAGTTTTTTAGTATGTTTAGTAGTTTTGTATTGTTTTTACAACTTAAAACTGTTTCATATACAAAATTTGTCGAAAATCAGTGTCACTCCCTAACAATTGCTTCTATTTACAAATTCGACTTGTCTATTAATCGTAAAGAACAGATAAAGGTTCTAGATATTCATTACGATTAGTACTAAAATGGCATTGCATGCAATCCAAACTTAGTATTATAAATGCGAAAGTAAACTCTGTCTGCCTGTCTGTCTGTCTTTTCTTCACGCCTGAACTACTGATCTTATTTGTGCAAAATTTGGTACAGACATACTTTGGAACTCGAGAAAGGACATAGGGTAGTTTTGAAAACAAAGACTTGCATGAAGTCCATGCGAACAAAGTTGCGGGCAAAAGCTAGTGGCATATAAAAAACAGAGTTACACATCGAGCTTTGTTGTGTGTATTGTGATTTTACCTTAAAGAAAACGTTTCTTTTATTAATAAGAATTACATGGATCATTAATAAAGCAAATTATTTATTTTAGATACGATGACTGCGACCTCCCCCATCCACGAGCCCCAGGTGTGTGGAAAGGGTAAAAAGTTTTACATGCAAGAAGTATTGTCTACAACAAGAGATACGGAGAAAGCTGTACAAAAAGATTCTCTACGTGTTTTGAAATATGTTAACATGAAGATGAGAAATAAATGTTGTCAGTTTGTTACAACAACTAAGAGTCGTGGAAATTATGTAGCGAGTTTTAGAGCGGTAGCGGTAGACACAACACTAGACAGGCCATGCTGCTGTCATCCCAAAATCTCTTCCACAACTTACGTCATAGAAAGCGCCACTTCAAGGGATTGTTATGTTGGAAATATATCAAGACTAGTCGCACCACTGTTACTAAAAGGTACCATTTCCTAATTTATAATTGCTTGTGCAAAGTATAAATAAAAATGAATCCTATTTTCCATGGCCACGGCATCATGCGTGAACACAACAACAGAACAGACCGATAAATAACAGATTGATTATTAAATTGAATTTTTCGAAAGTCCTATATCTAATAGGTAATGCTAACATAACAAATGACATCTAGGTCGATAGACATGACATCTATCCGGCTAGGTGTTAGGCCAACAAGGCAGTAAAGAAATATTTTATTAGATGTGACTTGTTGGTCTAATGTTCAAATACCACTAGTAGAATTAGTAGAATTTTAGATTTGCCATATTTTTTAAATTAGATGTTTGGTTCAGTCCACCAAAAATTTGGTTTTCCCTCAAAAAATACATATATAGCTTTGCATGTTATTTTACGAATATGATATAACAGAGCTTACTTACTTTCTCAGATAAACGTATACATATAGTATGTTTTGATAGATATGTTATTAGATTAGATATGTTAAAAGTTAAATTACGATTTTATTTCTTTTTGGCTTAACCCGTATTCTTAATATTACAGATAAGAGACCGAAATGGTGTCGTTACTCTAACATGGACAAAATATTTAAGACTAACACCCCTGCTCTACCACTTGTGCCTTGCATATCAAGTCATGGCCGATCTTCCATACGTCGCAGGTGTAAACGCAAATATCGGAGACCATCTTCAGTTTCAATAAATGAACGTTTGAATAAATATAATTATATTCCAAAGCCATGTCAGTGTAACTCAACCGGTTTCGACTTAGGTTCATATCAAGCTGCCAAAGTAACTGTAGATCGTAGTTACAGCGGTAGTTTGGACAATATGCGAAGGAGAAGATCTTTGAATCGATGTTCCAGGCGTAAAGCTCGAAGGAGACAAAGCTCCAGCAGCAGCTGCAGCAGCACTAGTGATGAAAGAGAGAAAAATAATAAAACGACGAAGCGAAGTGTTAGAATTGCTGAAGGTGGAATAAATAGCATTAAGCAGGGCATTAAAGGTGTTATAAGCAAATCTGGGATTCCAAAAGCTATACAAGAGAGCATCAGCAGTACCCTGGAGAGAAGGGGTATTATAAAGAAAAAAAAGAGAGTTTGTGATAGTATGGAAGATCTATGTAAACCAATAAACGAACGCATGAGTTGTAGCGAAACTTCGAGTGACGAATCAGAATCTTCAGACGACTCAGATGTCTGTGAAAAGCCGTGTCCCCGCCGAGAAACACGTAAGACAAAAGACGCGTGTCTCGGTACTGCCAGTGCAATGAAATGCAAGATCCCATCGCTTGGCAAGTAATTCAAACTTTAAAATTATTCTGTAAGCCCACCACTGATTGTGATTTTCAGCGTCGCGAATTTTTGTCCTTAAGTTGAATGCAACTAAGATATAGAAGAAGGCATTCATTGCGGTGACAACAATACAGTGACTAATAGCCGATCTATAAAATAATGTAGAAGTTTGCTCATTAGGGTTTTTTCTCTTTCCTGTTTATTTCATTTTATATCTATTACACAAATGTGTCCGCTTTGCCAATCACAAACAGTTTCATAGAATGCATCATGAGTGACAGTAGGCGACAGGAATAAAATTCACGTTCACAAAAGTCACAATCAGCGGAAGGCCTAATGGTCGCAAATCTTTTAAAGAATTAACACACCTCATATTATCAAAATAATGTTAGTAGCAGAGTCGTGCTTCCATATTTTTCTCACTAGTTACGTTTAAGTTCCATCGTGATAAAAATTGAGTGAAATATTCTTTCTAAAATCTAACAAAATGTTACCTGACTCAGACCGCAATCGAGAATTCAAGGTAAAATGTGCTACTCGACGGTTTTGTTAATCAAAGAGAAAACAAAAGTAATTATTGTGCAAAAATGAGCACTATTCAATTTGTCCAATTCTTGGTCATATTTTTTTAAATGATGTCAAAGTCTAACTATCCTTTCGTATAACCAACCGATCACAACACGATTCCCTTCATGAGCAGCGTTCACCCTCACCGCGACAATGTCGTAATTTACAATACATTTATTTATCATGAAGTTATTATACAAAAACGTTTTCTTTTTGCTTCAGAATGTAGTAAAAAGAAAATAATATGTACAAAACCAATAAAACGAAAATGTGGTTGTGCTGTGATAGAAGGAAATGGTTGTGCCTGTATTGAGCACTACCGGTATGGAGGACCACGGCCAGGACCCACGCCATGGACATGGTCTAGGGGTATGGCCACGGATTTGAGAGGGCCAGCAATAATACATGCGCGAAAAATTTGTGAGTACAGGAGAGTACTGTGTGGCAAGAATATTGACTCATGTTGTTGTCTTATAAAAGAACATAATTGTTGTAATTCCACCAAATTCTATGTCACTTGTCCTTGCGGTGAACATAGTCATCCCATATCATATCCTGATGGTTGTTGTCCAAAGAAGCCGTTTCACAACGTTGGTACTGTGACAGATGTGATGGGTTCAGATATATTTCGCCTCGAACTAAGATTTTGTCCTGCCGACCCGACAGACGATACGAAGAAAAAAAAGAAATGCAAGAAATACAAAGGTTGCGTCTGTAAAGATTTAGTGGACAAAGGTGCGGTACCTAAACCACCTAAATGTAGTGACGATTGTACACGAATACCGAAACCAGTAAAGAAAAAAAAGTGTATTAATAAATTGAAAAATTCGGATCCTTGTTGGGAACTTGCAAAACTACAAAACATTATAAATGAACCGAGAAAAAATGTATGTTGTCAAACTGAACCATGTGTAACCGCAAGGATATCAAAATTCTTTGCCAATATGGGTAAATCTCTTTCGAGGAGGAAGGCATCGGTTCCATGTTACCCAAGTGATGAAGTAGTTGGTAAGCAATTGTGTTGCAATGTATAAATAAAACTTGTGTAGGTATCATTGTTAATATAATGAATAAACAAATATTGTTAATTTTTTTACAGCAATAGCGCCTAGTGCAAGAGAAAGTGTTTCTAAAACTGGGTCAGAGCCACATGTATGGAAGAATCCAATATTCTGTAAATGCGAACCACTTTGCAAATGCGTAGAATGCAAATCGTTAAACCCGAAAAGTACAACTTTTTATTATTTATGTCTTTAAATCATTAGTTTTATTTTGTTTGTAATGTAGCTCTTACAACACAAATTCAGAGAGTCGTTACGCCTGCTCTTTGAGCCAAGGCGTTTCTTACAATATTATATTATCTCATAATCATTTAGTTAGTGATACTCTACAGCGTCTAATAATCAGTTAGTTCAATAAACTACTAACTAACTGCACTATAGAGTGATTTATTCTTAAATACTTATGTAATCTTTTATGACATTTTACCATAATAGCAAATCACGCTGCGTATGTGTAGATAGATAGGTATGTAGTAGGTACGAGTATATCAAAATGAAAGTTTAAACATAGTTTTAAAATGAATTATGTTGCTTGCAGGACCAGAAGGGAGTGAAGTTAAATATTCCCCTCCGTGTACCCCGAAAAAGATGTGTGAATGCAAACCATTTTGCCAATGCTTAGCTTGCACATTGTCAATGTCAAGTACAAACCTTATTTTACTTAGCTTTTGTACTCTATGTATACTTAGGTCATCTGTCTAATTCGTGTGTGGACTTCTTGCGCTACGCTGGCGAAACGAGCAAACGTCTTTGAATCACAAAAATATAACATGGAATTGCTTGGACAAAAGTTTCTAATAACAAAAATAGAAATCAAAGTGTGGGAGAGTTATGCTTCTGCACGAATCGGTTGGCTCGACTACCATACCACATGATACCACAGCCTCACGAAAACCGGCGTGAAATAACCACACCGTATAAGTGAGGTTACTGGAGAACTAATCTTTCCTATCCAAAAAAGTCAAAAGTCTAAAAGTTAACAACCGCATAGTGCCATGAAAAACACTCGAACTTGTGCTTATTGAAAATAAAACAAAAGAGACAGTTCGTTAGACATAACCATTACCTCGTATCCTCCTATACATATCTAACCAAATTAATGTGTCGTGTGTTCTGTAGTTTTAAATATATTATAATTCATGCTGACATGCTGAGTTTGTAGTAGAATAGTTATTTTTATAAGTCCTTTAAAAGGTCAAAGTCTGTCTTAGAATAATTAATTTTTCGTAATTTTATGATTATTTATTTTTATTTCTTGCAGAGCCTCCAGAATGTTCTTGTGAATGTAAACCAAGTTCACAGACATATATACCTGGTTTGTGTAAATGCTTACCCAACTGTCAATGTGGAATGATAACACTGTGTAAATAATTTTATTTATATATATCATATATTTATATATGTCATTTTGTTCATCACATTTTTATCGTGTGTAAGGTCTTGTTTTCCAATGTTTAATTAGGCTTCAACATATTTCATGGTATTGTGTCTTCGTATGAGAATACTTAAAATTACTTGCCCGAAACTGATACTCAGACACAATTATCAATCACGTATCAGATAGATTGATAATGTGAAATAGGCCATATTGCCAGGGAAGTTTTTAGTCAGTTAGATTCTCCCTCGCACCCAAGGCGGTAGAGAAGATGACTTCTTTAATGATAAAAAAGTAGTCCAAGTAATTTTCTTAGCTGTATGATTGGCTGAAATAACGAGTTAGCTATTTCGTAATCCATTAAATGGCTGATTATGCTTGTTAGCTCCGACTTCAAACGTGAAAAGAACGAACTTAAAAAGTCATAAAATTAATACTATTTCTTTCAGCTCAAAGGGGTATTTGTGTATGTAATCCCAACTGCGCATCGTGTGAATGTATGCAATGTTTTTGTAGAAAATATACAAAATGTAAAAAGAAATCTGTAACGTTAATTGATCCAAAGGAGGCTCCGCCCTCTTGCGCTCCTGAAGAGCCTGCACCAGAACCCAAACCAGTACCAGAACCCGAGCCAGAGCCTGAACCTAAACCTGAACTTGAACCACGAATTCAAATTGTTGAACTTCCACCTGAATATCTTCCTGAAGGGCAAGTTTATGAAACAATCGGCCCTAGTTGTGCGTGGATAAAAGATACTGAGGCACTTTTAAAAATTCGATCAGAATTGACTTTGACAAGTTCAGGGTTCAAAGCATCTAAAACAAAAAGACTGCCGCCGAAACCACCGGAACCAGAAATAGAATTAGATTTCGCTCAAGCTATTAGGTATTTTGCTATGCTCAATCCAGATAGGTTCCGGGAGTTGATGATACAGGAACGTTACCGGCGGGCACAGGAAGAGAAAAAGAGGCAAGAGTATTTAGATGAAATGAAGCAGGAATTAGAAAGACTAGAGAAAGAAGCACAAAAACGTAAGGAGTATGAAGACAAAATTTTAAGATATCTTGAGAGAATACTAGGGAAACGGCTTTTAGGTGTCTTAAAAAAGATAAAAGATTCCTTTACGGCAAACGAAGAAAAAGAGCTTGATAATATACAGGATATTATTCCATTAGAAGACGTAGTTTACACAGATAGGGCGGCAGAAGCGGACCTAGACCCAGAATTTTGGTATCCCGAAGGATTTAAGTTGACGATTGGTGTGTTTGGTGGTGCAACACCGGGTAATCCGAATCCTAGTTGCAGATGATTTAATATTCTGATAGCTACGTATCATGGCGAACATCAAATCCTCTACACGTGCATTTTAAAAAACTAAATTATTCCTATTTTACAGTACGATTTATTTGTAAACTGTTCAGTGTTGAGATCGTTATGGATAAGATCCCTTATTATAGGAATTATGTTTAGTACTTACATAATATTTATTGGTAACTCCATTTGTAAAAATAAATTGTGTTCTTTTAATTTTGTGTTTATGTATTGTATGTTTTTATGGATGAAATGGGAATCTGGATTTACATGTGTAAGTTTTTTTTAAACTTCATGTCTGGCCTCCAGATTGTTCAAATGTGGGGACAAAGTTTGTATGGATTACCGTTAAATCTATGTATTTCTAATTTTGAATGAATCCTACTATACTACTATAAATGTGAATGTTTGTGAGAATATATGTAAGTATGTATGTTTGTTATTCTTTAAAGCAAAAACGACTCGACCAATTTAGTTAAAATTTAGTTTGTAAATACGATGAGACGATTTTCTGGATTAGCGCATAGGTAGCTCTTTATTAACATAGCGGGCGAAGCCGAGGGCGGAAGCAAGGATTCTATAATAATTGACTATAGTTCGTTCCATCATTACAGACAACGATTTGACATTTCGAGTGTTGCAAGTTTTTTCCATTTCATAAATAGTGAAGTCCCGCGACCGGTATTGACCGAAAGACCGAAATTAAATTCTGGACTTCGTGCAATTTAAAAGCTTTATTATTTTTAACTACTTTCCCTGGTACCTTCCTGTGCCCATGCTAACTCAGTCGGGTTAAAATCACAATGGTAAGGAGGCAACCGTAAAATAGTGACCCCCCTTTTAGCAGCCACTAGTCCACGACGTATCGTTCATAATCACTCTTCTCTTTCCGGGAAATCTCCAACAGCTCTGCTTTCAGCATAAGTTCCTCAAATAGAATGTTATTTATTTTTCTTTTAGCCAGTTACTATTATTATTAATTCTCTGTTTTATTTTGATCAGGGTATTTTATAAAAAAACAGTATCGGTATTTTATTTAAAACATCGTACTCGGGCCCATCACTATGTTAAAAAATCTGGCCACATTATTTTGTACTTTGACATTTGCTGTTGTCAAATTGTTGTCTCTAATTATGGAACGAACTATAGATTTGATTAATTTTATGATAATTGATTCTGGTTTCCGGTTTAAAGAGAGATAGGATGTTTTCGGGTAAGTATGAACAAAACTCCTTAGAATACTTAACCCTTATTTTATTGTTGAATTATATTTGAAAGGGTCAATCGAATTTGTCTTAAAAATTGGTCAACCAGCAGCAGCAACGAGCATATCCTGATGGTAAGCAATCGGTGCTGCCCATGGGCATTGGCAACACCAGAGGCGTATAATCACAATAACATCTAAAGGTCGAAACGCACGTAGCGTTTCGACCTTTAGATGTTGATTGGGGAATTAGGGTTTGGAAGGGATATAACAAGACCTTCGATAATCTCATTACCATATCAGACCCTTTTTTTGTTATTTTTTTTTGTGATGGGAAAATCATCAAATGTCTTCTCCCGCTCATAGTGTCAGACTCTTAATGACTAAAACCCCCCCTGTTCCTACTCCTGCTCCAGGCCGAGGTCGCAGTGCCTCATTGCGCTTACCCCGCAACCCCAGCTGAACGTCAGCCCAATGGGGCCCCGTCTGTGGTGGTCTATTGGCTCTTCGAGGCGCGCGGAACGCTACGCGCCGTACGCTCGAGTCCGGTTCTGGTCGGATGGCGAGCTACCCTTACTCGCCGTCCGCAGACCCGCGCTTACGGTGGCCGGAGATCATCTCTCGATCCCCGACGCCCAGAATGTCGCCTTCTGCGGCGGCTGGGGCGCGAGGAGGATAGTTCCCTTGCGCGTTCAGCCTACTTCTTTGCGAGCATAACTGCTTCGCAGAAGGAGGAGATAGCTTCCCAGTTCCTCTCGCTAAGAACCATGGCCTCGATCAAGGCCTGAGGACACGGCGGTGCTCAGCCCAGCCATACCGCCACCGTATGCTCCACCGTATCCTCTAGGTGGTCCTCACAATGACGTCACTCGGGCGTTTCCTTCCGTTGGATCCGAAACAGGTATCATCATCAAATAGGATCATCGCCGACTCGACGCCGATGGTAACTCTTCCTGCCGTTATTTGGGACCCAACTAGAGGTGGCGCGTTCTGACGGCCATAATCACACATGGCCTCGGACTTGTGAAGCGCCACCTCGAGTCCCAACTGCCGGATCCTTGCAACGACTGTCGCGACCGTTTGTGACATCAGGTCGGCCGCCGCCTGATGTGACCTCCCATTCGCCAGTACCAACGTGTCGTCAGCATAAAAGACAATGCTGACGCCGCTCGGGAGGTCGGTGCGTAGCACCCAATCGTACCCGATGTTCCACAGGAGAGGTCCCAGGACCGATCCCTGTGGGACACCGCGCGACACCTCTCGCCGATTCCACACGCCCCGGTGACCGGGTTACATGACGCATCTGTGCGTCAAGTAAGCCTCGACTACACGACGGAGATAGGCAGGCACCCGGTGATACCGGAGTGCCTCTAGAATGCAGCTCCAGGGCAACGAGTTGATGGCGTTGGCGATATCCAGTCCAGAGACACCGCCACGACGACTCGCACCCCTGGCCAATGCAGTCCCCGTCGTGAGGTCCCTCACGCGCATGATGGGGTCCACCGTGGAGCGTCCTCTGCAGAAGCCGATTTCCACCCTGAGGGTGGCTTTCGCCACCCTGTACTCCTGGTATAGCCCCGGCTCTCTGGTTTCAGCGTCCAGAGGGCGGATACGGAGCCTGCGGTGCCTGGTGTAACGGCGTCGTGCGGCGGTGCACTCACCGCGCAGAGCAGCCAGCTCCTGCGACCACCAATACACCTGGCGCTTGCGTTTGCCCGGCCGGATCCGGGGCATCGCCACGTCGCACATCCTGGACATGGCGTCCTGGAGCCACCTCGCCTCCTCGTTATCGTCGGCAGGCCTGGCCGTTGGTATCACCCAAGCCTGCACGACAGCGGCTTCAAGGAACAGCTCCCAAACTAGCTGCCTCAGCGCCCAACGTGGGCCACAGGGGACCTGTCTGACTGGCGGGTCTGCGGACTCGGTGGAAACGTTGAACCGGATATACCTGTGATCGGAAAACGTCTCCACCTCCTCCATGACACGCCAGTCGTTAATGCGCGATGACAGAGTGGGGCTGGCAAACGAAATGTCCACCACCGACTCGCCCCGCATCCGCACGCACGTGGGGACAGAACCCCGGTTCAACACGACTAAGCCTGTCTCCAGGGCCCAGTGTTCGACCATCCTACTCCCCAGGTTGATGTTCGCCTGGAGGAGGCGTAATGGAGCCATTATTGGGTATCCATCACGACATCCTCTCTGACGGCAGCGGCGACGGCAGCAGTCTCAGGAGTGGTGGCGACTACGACGGCGGGGGCGGTGGAGGTGGCTAAGGGCCTACCTTTGCCTCTGGGCTTGGTGGGGGGGGGGGGGAGCAGGCTTTGCCCCCAACCCGGTGATCGGCCGGCTTGCCAGCATTGTCCGGGCGGATGGTGCCTGCCTTCACTTGATCAGCAGGGCACCCCCCCGTCCTGGGCAGGGCATCCCCCCCCCCGGTACTTCCACACCGTCCTAAATCCGACCCTATTATTATATTCTAGACATAAATTAACCTGAGATCACTTGTTTGGCAGTTGCCCTAGTGACCACTCGACTAATCAAATGTAACAAGGAGAGTTCCAAAAAAAACTATTATACCGAATGATAATAACACCTTAAATGATAGGTTCCACCAGAAATAGGCATACCAAAAGATTTTTTAATTGGTTTAATGTAAAAGCTCAGATAATTTAGTATTCGTAGGTTCTGACTATTGATCAACTATTTTCACTAACACATGACATTAAGACATGTACCCAGTAATTTTGTAAATTTTGTCATATCAAAACATGATGTCAGCGAGCCCTCGTGAAAGAGAGCCTTTACCACCAAGGTGAAGTTTAAAACCTTTTGGATATAATTTAGCTAGTTCTTTGGGAGGCATAACAGGAATATATCCTGTAGGTGGTGGAATACATCCGTAAGGGCATTCGCAGAATTCTTTATAATATTCCTTGGGCGGTGGCACTGGTTCACTTTGCTTTGCTTTTGGTTTGAATTTACTAAATATTCTCCTTGTCCTAGACAGTCCCTTCTTTCCTTCACTTTGTTTGTTAATTTTATCATTATTGTCAATCGGGTCTTGTAAGCTCTGCTGCACCAAATCACGGAATAGATGCGGATTCTTGCTTGTGTAGTATACAACTGCTTCTTCAAAGTTTAATTCCACTGATCGGTCTACTGGCGGTGGTTTCGGTTTTCTTTTACACGCCTTAAACCCTGATGTTTCGATAGACATTTCTGATCTTATTTTCATCAGCTTTTTGTAATCGATCCAATCGCAAGTAAGCCTACGTACGCTAGTTTCTTCTATTGAAACAGGCGGTGCCTGCGGCGGCATTGGTATGTTTCGTATGTTTCGCATGTTTTCTGCGTCTAATGGTTGCTTGGTTTGTTGACGATCACTCATCAATAATCCCGGTTTTTTTGAAGTACGCTCTGTCAAAATCTTTTCGGTTTCGGAATCTTCAGTGGTTTTAAGTATTATACTGTTTTCCTCAACTTCATTGCACTCACAAATTACATCATCATTTGGACTTGTCTTAGAAAATTCACCATCTGTGTCGCATAGACAAATAACACCAGGGTCAGCTGCAGTTTTGATTTCGGTTTTTAGGTTTTTCTGGTTCTTACTATCACTTTTCAGATTTGATAAAAATTTAGGCTTCTGTAAATTTTTCAACCATTGTCTTTCTTGAGTCAGTGGAATCTCGTCATAGCAGCCACATTCCACATCTGAACTTCGTAGCAAATCTTTGCGTCCTTCAGTCAGCGGAATCTCGTCATAGCAGCCACATTCGACGTCAGGACTACGTATTAAATCTTTAATGAATTTTTTGAATTGAGCTGTAACAAGTGAATTTTTGTTAAAAACATCAATTTCAGTTCAACCATATAAGTGTAGCGATGTTGGCTTGTAGAACTATTAACAATTATGGCATTTTAAAAAAATTATGTCCGCCGCATCCTTTCTAAATCTCTACAACTCTTTTATGCAGAGTTTTCAGAAATACAACCATGAAAACGCCGAAATAATGAGTCCGTTTATTTAAGGGTTGAAGAATTAAAATTTGACTGCACGGTTAGCGCGGTGGCTGCGCAACAGGCAGCCGCGCAACGTGTCGCAGGTTCGATTCCCGCATGGAACAACTCTTTGTGTGATCCACAGATTGTTGTTCCGGGTCTAGGTGTGATGTGCATGTGAAAATTGTATGTTTGTAAAGGCACCCACGACACAGGAGAAAATCCTAATGTGGGGCAACTTTTTTTTTAAATAAGAAAATAAGAATAAGAATATGTATGATGAAATGGGTATTGAAGTTAAATAAAACCAGAACTTTATTGATTTTGATTGTTCAATAGTATTAACTCTAAAAAGTAATCTCTTTTATTAATTATCAGATCATAACGAAACGATAGCGTATTCAATGTCGACGCCATCTAATGAGCTTAACATAGGCGTCCGCTCACTATACTGTGACCGAAGTTGTTGCCCAGCTGATGCGGTGGCGCTGCTTCAGCCGTCCACTGCGTGTGTCCCGGGCGAAGCGTACCCAAGTTTGGGCCGCAGGAAGACTTAATAGTAGTACTTATTTGTATAGCTCCTTACATGAATCTCTAAAACTGCGCCAGAACGACGGATTTTTTAAAAAACTACGTGCCTATTACGTTATCGCTGTGTAAAACACCTTTTTGCCAATAATGAGTATGGCAAAACCTCCTACGGAAATTATTTATTTACTATAAGTAATTCTTTGTTCTCAAACATTACATTACAGCCCAACACAATCATTCAATTATTTTCATACTAGCCCCCCCCAGCGGCTTCGCCCGAGTGCTATGTAATCAACACAACAAAGCAGCCTACAGCAATAGAACAAAATCGAAGAAGTTGTACATAAAATTTGTTATTAATTATCTCATTTTTATAGTTACTAGTACATCTCCAATGGGTAAAAACCCTATTACTTATTAAGTCTCCGCTATCCGTCCGTCCATAGATAGATTTGTACGGATCTAACTAATTATTAAGTACTATAAATATTTCATAAGTTTATGTTTTATTATATTTTAAAAACCGCGTCGCTTCGCGCGGTGCAACCGTTACACAAAAATAATCCTTATAGCATGATTCAGTGTTAACGTGCGACGGCGCAATGGCTTATTATCCGAACTGCTAAGCTATCAGGAGTTACACGTGCTATTGTGAGTTATTCATAAAAGATAGAATATGCTGTAATACAATTTTTTTAAATAATTTTAATTATGTAGAATATTTCCGTGCTACATCATTTCTATGTAACTTTAACTATGAAGGCTACACACACGACGGAAACTTAAAAAAGGGAGTAAGTTCTCCCTTTTTCCCAACATTTCCCTTCCCTGCTCTGCTCCTATTAATTGTAGCGTGATGGAGTATAAAGAATAATTGTACCAAGTTTCTATTTCTATAAGGTGGTAGATTTTATTTCTATAAGGAACATACAGACAGACAGACAGACAGACAAAAATTTTACTGATTGACGTTAACCTTAAGAAAGCTCTCATTCGTACTGCGCCTATTGTAGCACACACCCCAGGTAGGTAGCTACGCAAATGGTCTTAGGAGTAAAATAGAGACCCCGGGTAGACTTTGAGAAAGCTTAAAAGTTTATGTAAAAGTAAATATAGGGTTATATTGTAGTGTGTAATATACAATGATAATCACTTTTTTTTAGCTTCCGTCTTATCGTCCATTCCGCACATCGCCCAAACCAGCATGTATTACGGTTATAAAAGCAAAACTAAACGCATTAATGATATCTTCAACACCTTTTATCAATGATTTTACTTACCTTTTGTCATTTTCCTGGGCTTTCCTAATTAGTTTTGAACTTTTGGGCGGTAATTAGTTTTAACCAGATTGGTTGTATATCAGTATTTTTCGTGGAACATCTGTCGCTTGGGAAGGTATCCACTACCCAATGAGAAACATAAAAATGTTGAAGAGTGCGGGAACAAGAATGTAGACAACTACTGCAATCCTCGTACCCTCAAAGTATGAGGATTACGCACGACAAAATTTAAGAATTCGGAAAAAATATTGGAAGTAGTTTTGATTAAAATTATCTGTTAAGAATTTTTATCCGACGCAGAATGGAATCTTAGCTAGATTCACTATGAATAGTTGTGAAATACGGTATTCCAACGAATAAGGGTCCTTACTGAAAAGAGACTATGAATTGTTTAGAAATGGGCAGGCAATAACATACTGAGTTATCAATTCTAATTTTTCCTTTCATTGTTTAAATAAAATATGTAATAGGTAAAACCTATGAGTAATTCCAGGTAATATCTTTGTCAATTTTCATTAAATCCTATATTTACTTGTTACGTGAAAGATAACAAATATTATATAATAAGGAATAAATAGATGTCTTCCCTCCCTTCCCTGTTTTTAATAATAAAAGGATATTGGTCAGTTTATCATTTGAGTAATTAGGGTAATATCATCAAAATAAAAAGGCAATACCGGGTAATACAAGGTAAAAACATTTATGTAAAGGAAACCCAATCTTTTTGTGTAGGGAAATCAACAAATGATAGTGTACAGGTTTTTAAAGTGATTGTTACATGTAGGCCTCGTTTACGGAGCGGCATGTTGTTCTGCCCTTTAGACAGAGATTTAATTTCTAGGATATCTTAGTAGCCTGGATTTTAATATATACCGGCACAAAACAAGGCAAGTACCAGTGCCTTTTTCCGGGTTGTTTCTACTTTCTATTATACTCAGGCACCACTGTCACACGGCGTAGGAAAATATAAGGAAAGCTGGAGATATTATTTCTAACTGTAAGTTTAAAATCGTCAATTCACTTTGGGCATGCATATTGATAATGGCATTCCTTCTACATAATTGTGAGAAGGGGTCTTTTTTAGCAAGGGCACTTAAAGCACGGTGTGTAACTTTGATTTTAAGAAGGCTTATTATATTTATGGCGCTTTCACTGAACTTTTCTACCGTTCTGACCGTAGAACTAATGTCAAAATATCCAAGTGAGAAGCCAACTTAACGCAACTAGTAGGTAGTCAAATCCTCTTACAAAATATCTATCTTTATCATAAAAACAATAATCAGAAAAAAAACATTTAATATAGGGTTTACAAATCAATAAAAATAACGAGAACAGAACATTTATTACAAAACATTTAAACGATCATTGCTTGAATATTACAATGAGTAATATATATTTTTGAAAATATTGTCGTAAATAATAAACCAACATATTACTTCCTTAGTTAGCATTCTATGAAGGATTAGTGTGTCATATCATACGAGGATACGAGGCAACCCAGGTGAAAGAGAACCTTTACCACCAACGCTAAGTTTTAAGCCCTTTGGATACAATTTAGCTAGTTCATTGGGAGGAATAGCAGCTAGAGGGTCATATCCTATAGGTGGAGGTATGCGCCCGTGAGGACATTCGCACAATTCCTGTATTTGTTCAATTGGTGGTTCTAGTTCCATTGGTGGCTTGGGTTTTGGTAACAATTTTTTAAACACACTCTTTGCCTTTTCTCTTCTCGAAAGCACAGGTTGATCATTTTTATCTTCAGCTTCTTGTTTTTCCTTCTCCTCTTCGGCGTAAACAGTTCCTGCTAAGCTCTGCTGTATCAAATCAGCAAATAAATGCGGATTTTTAGTTGTATAGTACTTGATAGCTTCTTCAAAATCTAATTCCACTGAACGGTCTACTGGTGGCGGTTTAGGTCTTCTTTTACATGCTTTGAACCCTGATGTTTCGATAGACATTTCTGATCTCAATTTCATCAGTTTTTTATAATCAATCCATCCGCAACTGAGTTTAAGAACGGGATTTTGTATTATTGGCGTAAGCGGTATCTGTGGGGGTATTTTAGGAGAGCTTTTTCGAGTTTTGCTTTTAGAAGCTTTCTGCCCAGGTGCTGGTGGGATTTCGCCATCAATTTTAGGGCTAAATTGATCCATTGGGCTCTTTAAATCCTTCTTATCACCTGGAGTTTTATCTTTCTTATCCGTTTGTTTTTTATCAAGCGTTTTTTCAGAGGGTTCTGTTTCTGTTTCAGGGGCAGGTTTTGTATCTTGACGGTCAATTTTCGGTTCTAACGAATCTTTAGGGCTCGAAATAGTTTGTTCACCAACTCCAACAGGGGGACTTTTGTCAGAGGATCCAATTTCTGTTTCAGGGGTAAGTTTTGTATCTTGACTATCAGTTTTCTGGTCTGACGAATCTTCAGGGCTCAAAATAGTTTTTACACCAACTGCAGCTGGCGAGATTTTGTCAGCATTTTCAACTTTACTTTCAAGGTTAGGTTTAATAATTTCATTTTCAGTTTTCAATTCCAATAGGTCTTTAGAAATCGAAATAGCTTTTTCACCAACTACAGTTGGAGAAGTTTTGTCAGGAAGTTCAATATCAGTTTTAAGCTTACGTTTAATATCTTTGTTATCAATTTTGAAACCTGAGATTTTTTTAGGAATTGAAATGGATTTTTCATCAATCAGATCAGATGAGATTTTGTCAGGTAGTCCAATATCAGTTCCAAGCTTAGGTTTAGTACTTCCATTTTCGGTTTTCAAGCCTGAGATTTCTTTAGGAATTGAAATGGATTTTTCACCAATTACATCAGGTGAGATTTTGTCAGGTAGTCTAATATCAGCTCCAAGCTTAGGTTTAATACTTCCACTTTCGGTTTTCAAGCCTGAGATTTCTTTAGGAATTGAAATCGATTTTTCACCAATTACATCAGGTGAGATTTTTTCAGGTAGTCTAATATCAGTTCCAAGCTTAGATTTAATACTTCCATTTTCAGTTTTCAAGCCTGAGATTTCTTTAGGAATTGAAATGGATTTTTCACCAATTACACCAGGTGAGATTTTTTCAGGTAGTCCAATATCAGTTCCAAGTTCTGATTTTCTACCTTGACTGTCAGTTTTCGGGCTTGACGAATCTTTACGACTAAATGAAGTTGTTTTGCCAACTTCAGAATCAACTTCATCTGATATCGTTTTATCAGAAGATCCGCTTTCCAATTTAGGAATAGTTTCATTATCAACTTTAGGCGTTATTGAATCTTTTGGGTTGCATATTGGAACTGAACAAGGAAGTCTACGTAGTTTAGGATTACATCTTGGATTTGTACATTCAGATTCTGCGGTTGACGGATATTTAGGACATATTGAAGTACTTTGGTCAACTCCAGGTTGGAGGTTAGTAGCTTCCGTTTTGCTTCTAGAAGTAGGTTTTGGACTCTTTTTATCAGTTATTGAAATCGATTGACCTTTTGATTTCTTTGAAGTTTTTCGATCACTGGCAATCGCTGGAGTATTTTGTGTGGGACTTTTAGTATTTGAGTCCAGTTGAACGGAATTTTTTCTTTGGCTTGTGGTATCTTTAGACTTTTTTTTACTGTTTATAACCTCATCTTCGTAACTCACTTTGCGTGATTTGTGAGCATTATTTGAATGACATTTGCATTCTGTTGTAGTGACAGAGTCACCCATATCTTGAGACTTTTTAAATATATTAGACATACGAGTTAATGTTTTTTTAGCTTTGCCTTTAAAACCTTTTTCTTGTTCCTTAATTAATTGGACTTTTGAGCCCTTCAAGCTCGGTGTTGTTCCAATAGATTTAGCTGGTAAACTCTTTGATTTCCCTTTAAATAGTGAGTACTTTTGATCTTTTCTTAACTGCAGCTTTGAATCTGAAATAGTTTATTTATGTACAGTTAGCATTCGTTATTGCCAGAAGAGCAACTTTGTATTTACATAAACGTAGAAATCTCTAATAGTTTTGGCTTTCACTCTTGCACATCTTTTGAGGTATGACGATCTTCATTCTACGTTATGCAACAGTAACACACAGCCACCCACATAAAATTGTGTAAAATGTTGCCAAGACGAGAATTTGCTCTTTTTCGCTTTTCTTTCAAAACCGAAGTGCATCCTGTATTCTTTTATAATTAAAGGTATGTTTTATAATTAAAGTAAAGATGAATTAATTTTTTTGTGAATTCTAAATAGCCACGATTTTGATAAAAGCAAATATACGTTAGTATATGTTAGTCATTCCTTAAAGGAAAGGGAGAAAAATTATTTTATCTAAAAATCAAAAGAGAATACATTCATTTCTATTTGCATGCACTTTGTATTGATAGATTGGAAGTCGGTATGATAAGCAATGGTTTTTTCATTATTTTATATCATTAATTTATTCTAAGTAATGTTTACAATTATTGCTGTTTAAAGATAAGAAAGAGAAAACTTTATAAGTTCAAGTCACAATCCTGTTTTTATTTATGAGCAGTTTGCGCGTAACTGCAACTTTGCACATCCAACTGAGTATGCGGGCTCGCGCACGCAGCGTCTCTTTACAAAATTAGTAAATACGCTCACTGTCAGTCTCCATGTTGGGAACTTGAAGTCTATATAAAATCAATGTAGAATCCAAGCAGGTATGGGCACGCAGCCGCTGCTTCTGCTGAAGCGGCCGCCAGCTTATTTTAGTTAGTACGAATACCTTATCGAAACGTATGAAATGAGCCGCGTCCGAAGCATGAGTATCTCTTTCTCTGTGGTAGCCAAGTAATTGTTCTCTATGGTTCCTGCTTCCACTTCTGTGTGGTTCGACTACATATTCCTCGCTAATATGATAGCATTAAAGTTTCCCATGACAATGTAGATATTATCCCCTATGGGTGGTAGGTGGGCTCTTGGAACTATCTAAATTATGTAACAATGCATTGTGAAAAGTGATTGAAAAAGAGTAACCATGGAGTTTCTTGCTCGTTCTTCTCCATACACTTTGGAACGAGCAAATAGCTGCACTAGAGGAGATGGACAGACTGACACATATAAAGTTAAACCTTATGATATATTTTTTGCTTGACGTTCAAAAGTGCCTGTTGTGGTCTACTAGAAATAAAGAATTTGATTTGATTTGGAAATGTCTTCGAATATTTTTTTACCTCATCATTTGAGTATGTCCAGGCAAGATCGTATACTTAATCTTTATGCTGTAGTAACATACATTAGTGCAAGCTTATTAGAGACCTCAATAACGCTGATCGAGAGAGACCAAAACTGCGAAACCTGTACATGAGATGGCCGGACTCATAGCAACAACAGTATCTTCCTAGCTTCGGAGTTAACATAACCAAAGAACATATCACATTACACGTTAAACTAGCTATTCGTGCGCCCACTGTACGTAGCTGGAGTGATTTGGTGTTTTCGGCATTTCGTTGTAACCGCATACCAAGCCGTTGCCATCACCACCGACTTGGCCCGGAATCTTAGATCACTTAGATGATTTTGGTCACTTGTGGACCCACACGTTAATCTGTCACCAGCATCATTATATGTGTTTCAGACATATTAATTTTAGCTTAATAACATACTTTTTACAACGTTTTTATCTCTGCTCTAATAATGTTCTTTCTTCAACACATAATGTAGTGAAATATTATATAACTTTCCATAGCATGATTTCACGTAACTACCCTACCGTTACACCGCCGATTTTTTTATTATTACCCAAGTCGAACCTCCCGTTTATCAATCTATCAGTATAGTATATTCTTTTACAAATTTGGTAGTTTAAAATAAATAAGTGAATATACTACATACACGTGGTTTTGATCTATTATTTTGAAACATCTGGATTAGTCTAAGATCCCGATATAAAATGAGATGTTTATTTGATGAAACATATTTTATAATTAATTTCATTTGCCAATAATTATATTCCATATGGGTTGCCTCATAAATTTCAGTCCAGGATATGATTAATTGATAATTTAAAAAAGATTTTTTTTTAATATTTCACTGGTTTCACTATTGGACAAATTCCATTCCATAGCATATTCTATGGGCGTCGTGCTTTCATCCTTCGATTGGTAATACCCACCAGTGGCTAGTATTTGATAGAATCAAAGGTTTTGTATGTATACAAATATACTACTTTATATTAAAAAAGCTAAATATCAATTCCTACCACAAACCTGCAGTATGTTTTCACTAGTTAATTCAACTAAAATATTCTCAATTGCTGAGTCGATAAAAAATACTATACAAATTTTCAAAACAATACGGATGTAGTGTTTGTGTCAAACACAACAGCTTCGAAATCAATAACAATCAAAAACTTGATTTATTGATCATTTAAACTATCAAATAATGTGAAGCTTTAAAAATGTACAGGAGTAGTTCATACCTTTTATACATATAGAGTCAGCGAATACTGTTCAGTTTTGGCAACATTTTATCGTAATAGGTATGAAACATTTGGGGTGAAGCCAGTGTCTTCGTGGGCGATTTAAGAAATCTTATGTGTGTCACGCGTCTAGTTGTTAATGGTATATTAAAACCATGTCATCATTAAAATTCACCTGAAGATAGCCTTAGAAGTTCCTAGATTTTTATTTGTAGCTGTCGATTTTGGTTTAATCATCGCATTGGAAACAATTCTGTATTGATATTGTTGACTTTAAATAAACCTTTATATAATTATTATATATATATAAATTTATATACATAAGTATTTTTAATCGCATATCCCAACAATGACTGGATCAACTTTGCCGGTTTATGTTGTGTTTGTTATAGTCAGAAGAAAGTTCTTATGAAAGACTAATTTGAAGATTTGAAACAATAGTTTAAATAAGAAGTAATAAAAATGATTAATTACTAACCAGGTTTTTTTCCCATTTCGGCGTGGCCCTCTGATATTCTTACTCTACTTGTACGACGTCTATGCACCGTGCTGTCATCGTAATCGTGTTGTGGGGTGTAGTATGGTTGGCCTGTTCTGGTTGGTTGGTATGATTTGCTTGATCGCATTGGTTGGTATTGTTGGTAAGGTGAGTAAGGTTGGTTAGGATATGGTTGATGGGACGGTTGGTATTGTGCAGGCGGTTGGTATGGTTGAGCTTGTTGATATGGTTGTGTCGATTGGTATGGTTGGTTTGATAGGCACGGGTCGGTTGATGGATATGAATGGCTCGATTGGCATGGTTGGTTTGATTGACATGTTGATTGGCAGGGATGAGGTGATTGGTATGGTTGTGACGATTGGCACGGTGGTGTTATTTGGTATGGTTGTGTTGAATGATGTGGTTGCGTCGACTGGTATGGTTGTGCTGATTGGTATGGATGAAACGGTTGGTGCGAATGAGGCGATTGACGTGGTTGGGTTGATTGATAAGGTGGAGCCGACTGGCGTGGTTGAGTTGGTTGGTGGGGCTGTGATGACCGGTATGGTTGAGTAGGCTGGCTTGTAGGAGCTGATTGGTATGGTTGCGGTGTTTGATGTGGCTGTGTTGATTGGTATGGTTGAAATGAGTGGTGTGAATGGGCTGATTGGCGTGGTTGGGCAGCTTGGTAAGGTTGTGTCAATTGGGGCGGTTGCAATGAGTGAGGTGGATGAGCTGATTGGCGTGGCTGGGTTGTTTGGTATGGATGCATGGATTGGCGTGGTTGTGTTGATTGGTATGGTTGTGTTGATTGATATGGGTGAATTGAGTGGTGTGAATGGGTTGGTTGGCGTGGTTGGTTTGATTGGTATGGCTGCGTTGATTGATATGGGTGAATTGAGTGGTGTGAATGGGTTGACTGGCGTGGTTGGGTTGATTGGTATGGATGCGTTGCTTGATATGGGTGAATTGAGTGGTGTGAATGGGTTGCCTGGCGTGGTTGGTTTGATTGGTATGGCTGCGTTGATTGATATGGGTGAATTGAGTGGTGCGAATGGGTTGACTGACGTGGTTGGGCAGCTTGGTATGGTTGTGGTGATTGAGGCGGTTGCAATGAGTGAGGTGGATGAACTGATTGGTGCGGCTGGGTTACCTGGTATGGTTGCGTTGTCTGGTGTGGTTGTGCAGATTGGTATGGTGGAAATGAATGGTGTGAATGAGCTGACGGTCGAGGTTGAGTTGATTGGTATGGTTGCGTGGGTTGGTGCGGTTGTGTAGATTGGTACGGTTGAGATAAGTGGGGTGAATGAGCTGATTGGCGTGGTTGGTTTATCTGGTATGGTTGCGTTGAATGATGTGGTTGTGTTGATTGGTATGGTTGGAATGAATGATGTGAATGAGCTGATTGTCGTGATTGAGTTAATTGGTGTGGTTGCGTTGCTTGGTGCGGTTGTGTTGTTTGTTGTGGTTGTGTTGATTGGTATGGTTGAAATGAATGGTGCGAATGAGCTGGCTGTCGTGGTTGAGTTGATTGGTGCGGCTGGGTTACCTGGTATGGTTGCGTTGTCTGGTGTGGTTGTGTTGATTGATATGGTTGAAATGAATGGTGCGAATGAGCTGATTGTCGTGGTTGAGTTGATTGGTATGGTTGTGTTGATTGGTGCGGTTGTGGTGGTGGTGGTGTTGATTGGTATGGTTGAAGTGCTTGGTGTGAATGTGCCGATTGACGTGGTTGGGTTGATGGGTACGGTGTAGCTGGATGGAGTGGTTGAGTTGGTTGGTAGGGTTGAATGGATTGCTGTGGTTGCATTGGTTGGTACGGTTGTCTTGATTGGTATGGATGACTTGATTGGTATGGTTGTGTTGATTGATATGGTTGAAAGGATTGTTTCGATTGCGCTGATTGACGTGATTGAGTTTGATTTTCAGAACAGGTACAAGTTACATCTGTATCAGGTTTAGGTGTTTCTTGTGGATTGGAATTTTGAGAATATTGAGGGTTATGCCATGCATAGGAGCCATGTACAGGACAAGGTGTCGGGCTAGGAGGTTGTTCATTATAACTGAACTGATGCATCTGACAAGCGGCTACGGACATAACAGCTGAGTCTTTACGCTTGCTTAGAGAACGAAGCCAGTCAGAGTATTTATCTAAAATATAAAAAATTAACACTTCATTAATTTGGTCACATTACATTTATTTAAATTTACAAGGCCATTTTAAAAAACCTTACCTTTCAGAAAAAGAGGTCTAGATATAACATTCGATGGGTATGGATCATAAGGTATGTCCATTTTTGTTTGTATCACATCTGCAGTTTTAGTCTGGCAACAACATGGTCTATCCTCTGTCGTATCAATTGCTATTCCTTGCTTTGTATTTTTTAACATGCTTAGCTTTTTATTTGGTGTGGCAATTCTTCTTATCTCGTTTTTAGTTTTCTTGACATATTTAAGAACTCCTCGAGATTCATTTTGGTATGCATTTTGTGATTCGTTAGAAGATGATAACTCTCGCATATAAAATCGTTTTGATTTTCTACATACTTTTAAAACTCGTTTTGAATTTGAAGTTAATCTCTGTGGATCTAAAACATGTATAATGTTTAGTATTTGTTATAAAGTTGACTACAGATAATATGTGAAACTTACATCTTTTATCTACATAAGTTTTACAAAGTAGTCTTACCTTTATTTACGTAATTAGTACTTTTTGATAACGAAGGAGATGCACTCGATAGAAAACTTGTAGTTGAATTTAACCTCCTCCTTGAGTTTTGGGCTTCATCATCATCGGACGTTGGCACCACTATAAATATTGATGATACACCGTGAAAACGCTTTTTCGTCATAATTTTGTCCATTAATTTTGATACATCAAGTTCACTTGGAAACTCGTCCATGACCACCTCATTAAGGAGTTGTTCTGTTGAATTATTCGTTTTTCTCTCGTCATTTTTGAGTTGAAGATTTGCTTGTGAAATTCTTAAGATTGTAAATTCTTGCACACCTTCACGTTCTGTTGCATTTAATTGATTTTTGCTCTCCGTTCCCGGTAGCGTTTTTAGCTTGGTGTTAAAGCTGTGAACAAATAATAAAATGGATTTTAGAACGAAACAAGTATTGGATTGTACAAACATACATTGCTGATGGTGTAGTACGGTGATGCTGTGACTTTATTTACGTGTTTTGGAAAAAATGGGGTTACAACTAAATCCAAACTAATATTATAAATGCGAAAGTAACTCTGTGTCTGCCTCTCTGTCTGTCTGTTTTTTCTTCATGCCTAAACTACTGAACCTATTTGTGTGAAATTTGGTACAGACATAGTTTGGAACTCGAGAAAGGTTAAAGGATAGATTTTAAACCAAAAGTCACTATTCCACGCGAACAAAGTCGCGGGTAGAAGCTAGTATTATGTAACTTAGTCTATTTACTATGGGAGATAAAGTATTAAATAGCTTAATGGTTACTTGAGAAGTACATTTTTTTTAAATTTATGTCAAGTTATATTTTCGGCAAGATAGGGTCACCTTGACCGGAGTGATAACCTCTACCTCACAGGAAACTGGCGTGGAACAATGAAAATTCTCTAACCACTAAAACTGGGCATCGCAAAAATATAAATATTTATATAAAATCTGTCTGTGGTGGTCTATTGGCTCTTTGAGGCGCGCGCGGAACGCTACGCGCCGTACGCTCGGGTCTGGTTCTGGTCGGGCGGCGAGCTACCCTTACTCGCCCTCCACAGACCCACGCTTACGGTGGCCGGAGATCGTCTCTTGATTCATACCAGTCATGTACTACCAGTTTTACGACTAAATGACTGGACTACTATTAAACTTTTGAATTTAAAGTTACCTTGTCGTAAGTTCTTCTAATGAAGTTACACCCAAGACTTCGACAGTTGATTGAAAACTCGAGTAATTTGAGGAATAAGATGTGATGCTGCTGCCCATATCTGATGTCTTACAGGCTGTGCCTAAGCTATTACTTGAACTGGAGTTAAAAGATAACGAAGTTTCACTCTTTATAACTACAATAGAGTCCAACGTGTTAGCTGCAGATTGTGATCTAGGACCTTTATAAGCACCATCCGTGGATTTAAAGTTTTCTGAACTGGGCTCTCTTCTTTCTGATGTATTGTTATTCCCTTCAAAATGTTGTGTTGATCTATTCTGTTGATGATGTTCGATTACCGCCGAGGATAGTTTAGCTCTTAAATTTATACCAGAATTACTGGAAATCGTCTCTTTATACCAAGACTTTGGAGATTTACTGAAGCTACCGAAATAATCAGACCCGGGATCGCTGTGGTGAACTCTGGTCATTGTATCTTCAAGCAACACCCGATTACTAGTGACGATTGAATGTGTTGCTTTATCAATAGCACTTGCACACGTATCTCTTATTCTCATATTTGGAGTACGTTCACGAGGAATTTGAAATTCAGGGGTAATGGTTTTTATATGAATGTTGTCGCACTCAACAGTTTGATCATTTTTCATCACTTTCTTTGAAGTTAAAAGGCCAAAGGCTTTTCTCTCTTTTTTCTTCTCAATACTTTCTAATTTTGCTTTCGGGTGAGCATTCGCCCGTATCTTGAATCTCCTTATTAACTGTTTTTCGGAAGCTGTTTTACCTTCAGGTAATGGCAAACCATTTTCAACAATACTTTTTAGCATTTCTGCTTTTCGAGATATTGTTTTTCCAGCTAGATTTGAAAAAAGATTAGTAGCTTTTGCTTTTCTCATTTTTTTTAATTTAGAAAGTATTAAGTAATCGTTATTACTATTTTGGTCTAAATCCTCTATCGACAGTTTATTAACGATATTAGGTGTTGATAATTTTTGGAAAATAGGTTTTACTTCAGGTTTTGATCTTTCAAATTTTGTTAAAAAGCCTTTGGAATCTACACCACATTGAAATTTCGATGTGAATTTTGTTATATGCATTGTTTCAACAGATTTTTTAGTATATTCTCTTTCCATTGACGATGACATGGGATTTTCTAATTTTATTTTCTTTATTTTTTCTTTTGTTTTCTGTATTAATATTTTTTCCGATGACGTGCGATCTTCAGGGTGTGGTATGCCCAGCTCTGTTAATTTGGATAGAACTTTTTCTTTTTCGGCTTGTGTTTTTCCAACAAGCGAATCGAGTAAACCAGCTTCAGTCGCTTTTACAAGTCTTTCTTTCATTGCAAGTGCCTTAGTCAAGGGAGGTAGCCGAGCTCGTACCTTATCAATTAATCTTTTTTGAGACTGTGTTTTGGCTTCAGGCAAAGGAATATTATGCATTGCAAGTCCTTTTAATAATTTCACTTTTTGCGCTGAAGTTTTTCCTTCAAGAATCGTAAATAATCCATTAGATTTAGGTTTACGCTTCTTTTTTGAGTTTACTAAATGACCTGCTTGGATTGGTGCTGTGGACATATATTTTTTCTCTGAAGGTGGTCTGCCTTTAGGTAACTGTGTACCCATATTGTTTGAACCTTGCAATTGTTTTCTTTTTTCCTCCATTGTTTTTCTTTCGAGCGGTGAAAGCAGTCCTGTTCTAGTTGCTTGGTCGTGTTTTTTTCTGATAGCTTTGTTTGTGTTAGGTTCAACAGGTAAATTAAGGTCATCATGCACCTCAATAAATCTTACTTCTGATGCGGTTTGAATCCATAAAATTTTATGTTTTTTTTCACCAGTTTTTCCCCTAATCGGTGTCAGCAAATCTGCAGCTTTTGTCTTTCTAGGCTTATCTGATATTTTAGTTTCTAATACTTTTGTTGATGGTGTCCTACCTTCCGCTGACGGAATTTTTAATTTACCTAGTCCTTGACGAGTGTTCACTTTATCTTTGGGTGATTTCCCTGCCAATGGCTGCAAAAGGCCAGTATTAGCGGCAGCTATGGACTTATTATATATATTTATAGTTTGCGTTTTGGGTTGTATAGGTAAACCAACTTCTTTACGAATTTTATCTATCATCTTTATTTCAGATGACGTTTTACCATCGGGCAGGTGAAAATTATGCCCTATAAGGCAACGTAATATTTTTTCTTTTTGTTCTGGAGTTTTTCCTTCAAGCGGGGTTTCTATAAGTCCTGTTCTCCTTATTTTACGAAGCATTTTCAAAGGTATTTTTGAAGAAATCTGAGCATTATTTAGAAAATTATTAGTGAGCGCCTCTTCTGACGACATTACTTCTTCAGGAGCATCTAAAGCTCTTGGGGCTGTTATAAGCTCAGATTTTTTTATCACAGGTATTACAATACCGGGTGCGTCTGACTTATACATTTTAGTGTTTTTAGAACTTGATCTTGGTTCTGTTGACAATCTTGGCTGCTTTCTAGTTCTATTTAAGAAATTCTTGAGTGGTGGTGTTCTTTCTGACGACGATTGTTTCAACGTAGGCTTGTCACTCAAAATATTCTCTTTTTCTGATAGTATTTTATTATGCGACGATTTTTCCGATATTTTGTTTCTTTCAGTTTTTTGCAGATTAGTTTGTACTGCGTAAGTGTAACGTTTGTTTCTGAAACGTGTATACATATCCTTAATTACTTCTAACACAGCATCAGACTTACAAGAACAATCATTGTTGCCTGAGGGAGTGCGCAATTCACACATATACACTTTCCATTTAGTTTGACTAGGGTAGTTGCGGACTTTCAGATATTTGTTGTATCGATGCAAAGACACTTTATTGATGATTAATTTTGATGCCAACGGACTACGCTGGAATTTTTTTAGTGTGTTTGTTTGACCTTTTCGAGCTGTTTTTTTATGTTTTTTTATTTCTGGCATACTTGAATGTCTAGTTAGTGGACCCTGTTCATTTGTATCTTTGAACTTGGATAATGGAAATACGAGTCTGTTGTTTTGAATTGTCGAGTATTGATTCTGATTATTTATAGTGTCATATTGAAGATTTTTTGATTTTGTTCTATTTACATGAATGCCTACATTTTTAATGTAAGATTGACGGGATTCCTTTGTTGCGTTCATAACTTTTCTTTGAGTATTTTCACAGTTTTTATTATATGAATTTTTCATTGTATTTTTCATTTAGGAAATATAGTCTGCAATCTCCAGGGATTTTAAACTAACGTAGGTTTTAATTATTTATTTATTTCAGTTTTACATCAGTAACCCATTAAACATACTATGGAATTTTGTGCGATTGTTATGGGTCACTTTAACATACACTTAATTGTTGTTTATATCCTTCTTCTTTTAATAAATTTAGTGTAAAGCCTGAAACAAAATGAAGGATATTAAAGGATCAAATAGTAATGTAACAATGGAATGGAGTAAATTTGGCCATATTTTTTGCAAAACGATAAGCTTAGTATATAGATATACTAAAAGTATTTGGATAAATATCCATAATATATATACATATATATCTACAATGCCATGATAGCAACGTTAAAGGTTGCTGTGTTGCAGCCGTTGTAACTGACTCGACACAACTTGTAAAGTTTCGTAGTAAATAAACAGAATTTCGGAAGTGCTTAGGACCTATTATACATGTCTGGATAAACACTATGTAGCAGATATATTAGATTATAGAAAGTAATTTGTGTCACATAAGTTTTATGGGAACTAAAACACATGCAAGGTGGTAAAACACGCGTGAAACTGCTCAGTAAATATGTTATTAAAATCTAAACGTTTTTAACAAATTCTTCTAAAATATTGTGTTACTTTTGTAACAAAACATTACGTATCATGTAAATGATATAAATTAAGATACAAACAACCGTAACAGAAATTTCAGGTAGAGTAGGACGAATTACTATAGTTTACAGACGACCTACCATATCCTAATATAGCCGTAAAACTGTTATCAAAAGGCTTCAAAGCGTTAAAATTTGGCCAAATATTTTTCCAATAACCATAAGTACGAACAATAGTTCATGCAACTGTCATTTGAAATTTATCTGTGACAGATTTAGTTGTCAGCAAGGTGATATTATGGTGCTGGCCAACTCCAAAGAGTAAGTAAATAAAGGGGTAAAGTGCTACCATTAATAGTGCTTAGTAAGTTGGATTAGATCTACATAAAAAAATCATCTATTGAAATAGATGCAAAATTTAAATACTGGTAAAATGCTGCAACTTTACACGGATTTTGACGTTTTTCTTCGATGAATCTTTAATCGTTAAGAAAGTCGTATGTTTTTCCAATTACTGTACAATATTGGACTTTAAGCTATAGGAATACATTTGCTAATAGTAAAAAAACACCTTTAAAGCACAAAAAATGCTTTGAAAACGTAGGCAAAGTTGAGGTTAAATCTACAACATTGCCTGTCTTAATATCTTTATAAATGAATTGGTATTTTGGTAACGGATTTGACACCCATATTGCCATAAAGTGCTTTTGCACGCCAGACTTAACTGAATCTTGAATAGCACAAGAATTTTTTTTTTTTACAATGCTAGGCAAAGTTGTGCAGGTTTCTCTAAAACTCCCATACAAAACTGAGTTCGGTGCAGGGCTGCCCCAAAGGAAATGCATCATTTTTTCTTAATTTTTAAATATATTTTTAAGAAATCAAATGGTACTTAAATTCTAATAAATTTTTTTCACAGGAAAACAAAAAGGTAGGTAGGTTAACATTTAAAAAATAATTAATGTTGGTAGGTACCTATTACGTATAATAAAAATTACAACAGCAGCCTGCAGAGAGGACACAAATAGTTTTACATAAAATCAACAAAGAATTTTATATTAGTGAGATCAACTAATAGTTTTCCATAAACTTGTGAAAACATCTTAGTACCTATATAAGTTTTAAGAAAACAATTTTATGAAGAAACTTCTTCAAAACAATATTGTATAAAAACTAAAAAATCTAATTATTTTGAAATAAAACTATCAGAAAAGTAGGAACTTGTATAATTACTTAGCAAAAAATCAACAAAATTAAATAGTTAAGTTAAGGCAATAATTTAACTTTTTTGAATTTAGGCAATGTTGAGCTATAAAGGCAATGTTACAGCATTTTACGGTAGTGCTTCGTATGGGTTCGCATAAATTTAGACGTCAGTCAGGTTATTATCGACTAAAAACATAGTAGTTTCCTCTATTCGTAGGGAAAATTTAATGAAATAATTTTTAATAACATGTTAATCGAATCTGAAACACACTTTTGCTAGTATTACGCCCAGGTAACAGAGAATAAACGTAGATTTCCTCGAAGGGCAGCTATAGAAACATGATGACAGTATCGACAACGTCGAGGAGAGTTATATTGGGTGACTCAATTTACAGCATTTGAGTCAAGACTCAGCAATACCACTACTCGGGAATAAAATTTAAGTCTGAGCAAATATTTTCATAATGCGGTCGGTGAGGAAATTTGGCTAGTGTGGGAGCGAGTGACTTTTTCTGAGTTTCCTAAGCTTATTTAATGGAGTTGTAGACACTTAGTCGTGCTTAGTATTAATAAGTCGATGGATTATTTAGTCACCACTTGTACACCACATACTGTGAAGCAAAACAGTGCCGGTTCAGTCATTACCCTGTGTGATTTTTCGCTACCAGCCTATTGTCAGACCACGCTGAAGCCGGTCGGAAGCGAGGTCGGCGCGTAGCAGTCAACCCTTCTCGATATTCTACAGGAACGGTCTCAGGGCTAAAGGCCCCTGTGAATTGGGCAGATGACGGACCTGTCTGAAATTTAGACAAGCCTCGAGTCAACGGCATTGTGAGATAGTCACCGAAACACTGAAGTTCAGCGCGTCCTAGGGATTTAATGACGGTATTGAATCCCGCAATGAAATAAATCAGAAGACACAATTCAGGGCTGATGATGATTGATTATAACCAATGAGACAGTAACCAAAGCATATAATGAGACATAACTTTTCTTTGAGAACATCTCCCACAATACGGTTTCGTTAATGCATTGTGAGTGCGTTTTTAAATAACAATTTAAATCCATCATGATCCTGGATTACGATTTAGGAATTATTAAAATATTTGTTCCGTGCAGGAATCGAACTCTACTTCAATGCTATATCGCAGGAGTCATGCAGTCAGTTGCTCTTTTGATTCGGTATTCAATTTATAGGGACCTCCTCTTATGCACGGCCACTAAAAGTTTTCTAGAATTGCAAAGTGAGAAATGATAATACTATTCAAAAACGGTAGCGAAATCTCAGAAAATTGTGACCACTGAAATAAGAACCACACTTAACTCATAGATTTTTAATTACTACCAAATAAAACAGCTGATTTAAATAAAAAATACAAAACAATAGCAATACATAGTTACTCAAGATATCAATATAAAACCAAGTACTGGCTGTTGCGGCTGAAGTAGTCACCAAGTCGTAAATGAGTTATGGAGCAAATCGAACAAATACATATCTGCCAGCCCCGGCGACCTGGTACCTTTGCTTGATATTTTATACTTCAAACATTTAACCGGACCTTTGTTGTATTGACTTTCTGCTAATGTAGATTCTGAGCGGGATGAAAAAGTTATTGAAAAGGGCGACGTCTCTTCTAGACGACAGGGAGGTAATGCTTCAGCTGATCGCAAAGGCAGTATTGCGACTCCTTCAGGCCACTCGCAGTAGACTTTCGTATTTGGTTTTTTTGAGACTTTTATCTTTTTTTCCCAAGGCTTTTCGACCGTCGTTGCTAATGATGATGATGGAGGTGGTGGTGATTGTTGCTCTAATAGTTGTTGTTTAAGGATACGCTGAAATAGCTCTGGGTACATAGCTGCATAATATTTTATGGCGTCATCAATTGAGCTTTCTTCATCTGTTGGAGCTTGTTGTCGTTTTTTGTGCATTGTAAATCCTGAAATTCTATGAGTTAAATCAGATTTCATTTTTTTTATTTCCCTTAAGTCAACCCATTCAAATTGGTTTGTCTCTGGCTCTGGCATTGGACTTAATATTGGTTCTGGCTTTGGTTCGCGTTCAAATTCTTCTTCTGGACATTCACATGTGACGTTCTTTGTTTTCTTTTCAGTTTTGCATTTGTAATCCAAATCGTGATCGGTTGAAGTACCGATTGTGGAGATTAATTTAATTTGTTTATTTCCTGCCTGATTGTAAATTTTTCCAGCTTCAATTTCCATTGACTCTCCTGCTGGACCTATTATCTGGGTTAGTGCTGGTTGACGGACTGGAATTAAGCGACTTGTGATGGATGAGCTAGCACTTGTAGTTGTTTTAGGAGGTACCGCAAGATATGAACTTGGGACCTTTGTGGGTCTTGATTTTGGTCCCGACTCAGTGCAGTGTTGTGCTATCGGTTTTCTTGGTCGTGCTCTCGGATATGCTTGGCATGGGCAGACTGGTTTGAGTTTTATTGGATTCTTCTTATCATCACAACCGCATTCGTCGACCGTAGGGGGATGTTGACATGTAAGACAGTCTCCATCTTTTCCTGTAAAAACAAATGTTTATTAATAAAAATACAGAATAACACCAACTCCTCGTATTGCGTTGTCGGGATTGTATGATATTCACAAACACCATAACTAACTCAATGACGTATAATTCCCTACCCGTAAAACAATGTATACTTGATACATAAAGACCGACCACGTTTCTGCAACGTCTTGTATACATTATAACATTCAGTCTCACAATAGCTTCGCCAACTTATAGACATCGTGCTTGCAAATATTAATAAAAACAGGCAAAAAATGATTTCAACAACCCTATTTAATTATATGTATCCTTACCTTTCTTTTTAGTAGATACTGCTGTATCTGCAGCAGTACGAGATGGGCGTTTACGTGTCTGTGTATCCGTTTCTCTACACTCTCTGCGGCAAAGCGGCTTTTTATGCCGCGTCGCTCCTGTACCGACCGCTTGCTCTATTAGTTCTTTTAACTTTTCTGCTGTACAGTCACACGGTTTCACTGGTGGCTCTGGACATGTAGTACTCGCCCCATTGCACAAACACGACGGTTTATTCTGACACGGCGGTATATTGTTAGATTTTAGTGGTAACTGCTTTTGCGACTGCAATTTACTACAGGGTGGTGTATCACATAGCGGTAGCTTATTTTGCAGCGGCAGATTACTACATGGGGGTGTATTACACGGCGCGTCTTGAGCCCGAAACAAAGTTAGTGTCGTGGTTGATCTCTTTGGTGATTTTAATTTTGGTAAGTAATATGGGTCATCGTTCATACCTGCAAAGATAAAAATAACACAAATATAGGGCACACACAAAATTTCAACTAGCAGACTTCAAGGGTTGGTCATTTCGAGTAGCCATTAATCGCTGCTAAACGGACCAAATCAGTATTAACACCAAGGTTCTTTACTAGAAGTGCTCAGGAGTGGAATTATTTGCAAGTCTGAATACCATAACCTGGAAGATTTTATCATCAAGGCTTGAATGACTTTCTTGCTGATAGGTAGACGTGCAACATTTTTAGGCAGCATCATTGCTTCTTACCACGATAGAGAGAGTAGTAAAATTTCAAGTCATTTCTATAATATAAAAAAAATATGGCACAAGGGCACAAGTTGGGAACAGATTTTGCTATTTGTTCAAGCTTTCGAAAAGTATTACTTTTAGCAAATTTGAGATGCGGCAAAGTATTGAATGTGCAAACAGTGATATAATTTACACGGGATTAGCATTGCGCCTTGGCCATTAAAACTATATATTTTGCATTAGCACGCAATAACTATAAAGAGTATCATCATCAGCCACAGGACGTTCACTGCTGAACATAGGCCTCCCATTGGGGGTATATATGTTATACAGTCCCTATGTTCAGCAGTGACTTCCAGATAGGCCGGTTGGAAGCGACCTGCATCCAGCCTCTATCCTGCGACCTTAATCAGGTCGTCTGTCCACCTTGCGGGTGGACGTCCTACGCTGCGCTTGCCGGTACGTGGCCTCCACACGAGAACCTTTCTGCCCCAGCGGCCGTCGGTTCTACGCGCTATGTGCCCTGCCCATTGCCACTTCAACTGACTAATCCGTTGGGCTATGTCGGACACCTTTGTTCGTTTGCGGACATCCTCGTTTTTTATTCGGTCTCGCAAAGAAATTCCGAGCATAGCCCTTTCCATAGCGCGCTGAGCGACCTTGAGCTTCTTTATAAGGCCCACAGTAAGAGACCACGTTTCAGTTCCATAGATCATCGCTGGTAACACACATTAATTATAGACTTTCGTCTTAAGGTACCGAGGTATGTTGGATGAGAAGATGTTGCGTAGTTTCCCGAACGCTGCCCATCCAAGTTGGATTCAACGATTGACCTCCTTCTCGAAATTGGACCTACCTAGCTGGATCACTTGTCCCAGGTATACATATTCGTCAACAATTTCGAAGTTAGAGCTCCCAACTGATATCGGGTAAAGTATACTCTTTATCAGTTGGGAGCTCTAAAGGCTAAAATTGGGAAAAAAATTACCGTGATTGACAAGAAGCGGTGCGACTTGATTCCACATTTCATTTCTTGCATATGTTTCATACGGTTCATTAATGTCATTTGTTTGATACGTATCATTTCTTGGATACGGATCATTTCTTGGATACGGATCATTTCTTGGATACGGATCATTTATTGGATACGGTTCATTTCTTGGATACGGTTCATTCATTTCATTTCGTCTATACGTTTCATGTGTTTCATTTGTATCATTTGTTTCATTTTTTTCAAGTTTGTTTGGATCATAAGTGCAGTATTGAGAGCATTTATGGTGATTTAAACAACAACAGTAAGGCAGGTTCACAGTCGTCTCCGTATTCACCATGTCTTTATCCGTGTTTGCACATTTGTCATTTGGTGATGGCGTAGTGATCTGACATAATTTATTTTTACGTCTTTTTGCTAATTTCCAGACATTTAAAGAATCAAACATAGTCTCCTTGTTATGAAAAGATAGCACAGTCGTCGGCAAATTTTCCATAAGGAATTTCTGTCCTTTAACAGAAATTTTTAATCCATGTGTTGTGGACGATATTCTTCGTTGCAGATCTTTAAATGTATTTAGTGTTGTTATAATACCATTTATATTATGTTCATAAATGTATAAAGATTCCACGATTTCTTAACCATTACAATACTATAGGACTAAATTAAAATGCTTGAAAAACCTAAAATACACCATATTAGCAAGCTCAAGGTGAACGACGGCGTCGCGAACTAACAGGGGATGTTACCAGGAGCGAATAGGTTCGAGTGGCGACCTGTAGTTCGACATATGATATATTTTATACTATTTATATTTATTATACTATGATAATGCGTGTGCGCACACCTCCCACCGAACAAAGATGTATTTGAGCACCCAAAATGTACATATTACATCATGCATCTCGCAGCCCTGACAAACACCCTACGATTTTACTCAAAGTACATTCCCTGAAATTAAGCAAACTCTTCGTCGTCAACGTTTCAGCTCACCCAAGAAGCTGCTGACGCATGAAAGACGGTTATTTTGACTACCCCCCTTTCGATACTATAATACATACAAAGTAATGTCTTCTGGGCCATTATTTTTTTTGACGTAATAGGATTAGGAACTATAAGATGAAGGAAATATTAAAAAAATATAAATAATGCCAGTCGAAGTAGAGCGGATTCATTTTACAAAGCTGTATATACTGAGAATTCCGATAATACAGTGATAAGTATAATAAATAAAAGTAAAGAGTGAATGTATAGACTATAGATTTGATTTGTACAAATGAAAGAAGGTGCAAAGGGAAATCTTATTATCTTCAATAAACTGTTTCAGTTCCATACAGAGTTGATTTTTATCCTTTTGTTGGACGTTCCCGGTTCTAGATTAAATATTTATTTATTCAAAATTTCGTACATTTCAAAGTATTACTCAGATGTCGTAGACGCTTCTAGTCAAAGATTCAGAAGTCATGTTCATTACTTGATAATATTTAGATAAAATGACTCACCGAAGTCTACATAGTTGTTAATATTACCACCTCTATATAGAATTTGATTTTCGCTTATCGTTGTACAGGACTTGAGGAAATCTGTAGAACCATCGGCATCGTTGTCTTCAGAAGGCACAAGTACAAATATAGAAGAGACGTCAGAGAAATCATTTTTTGCCAGTAGTTCATCAACTATAGTTGTTATGTCACGCTCACTATTTAAATGGTTTATGACCACGATAGGTTCTCCATTTCTAGTTCTTTGCTTGTGTTTACATTTCTTTTCAAGTAATGGATTTGCTTCATTCCCGGACATTCTGAAAATCTGGTAAACGTGTGTTGGTATGACATCTAGATACTCGTTGCATAATACAGATTCGTCTGAGGCGTCGATACTGCAAATAAATAAATATTTGGTTAAAAAACTTTATTCAAAACCTTTTCAAGATGTTTTAAACTTTTATTTGGAGAGATCAATAATCTTGTGCCGTTTTCTCTTAGCTGAGCACGTTTTTATGAAATGACTTTACTGTTAAGGAGTAAGATACTCTATATGATATAAACGGTTTAACATTTATTTAAAAACATGCATACAACAAATATTAGACTAATTTATATTAATTTTTTATTTCTTTTCCTATGGAATCAAATACTTTCTTCTTCTTTATAGATGTGAAATTTTGTGTGATGACATCATTACATTTTACACATGGAATATAGCCAACTCATTAAAAAATCCAATTAATTTATATAAGCGTTCACTGCCGAACTTAGGCCTCTCCAATTGCTCGCCACTGGGTTCGATCTTCAGCTCTAATCATCCAATCCAATTACCTTCTTATAAAAAAAGGCTTCCGCATACGGTTTTACTCGCGTCTAAAGAAATTATAATTTTAAAAAACAGCAGCGTTTAAAGCAATTATTTGATTAATATACGCAACAGCAAAGAAAAAATAGACTTAAAATTTCTAGTAAGCGTGGGATTATTGCTCAAAACTTCTCTGTGTAAGGCCTTTGTTCAGAAAAGGGCACTTATAGGCTGATGACAGGTGATATGAATTTTCATCCGCAGTTATATCTATATAGCTACAATGTTCCTGAGTACTATAGGCTATAAAACAGCATTCTACGCTTACATGAAGCCGAGCAGCGGGTGAAACCGTACGAGAGTAGCTAGTTAACACAATCATACATTTATATTCTGTGGTGGTGAAACAGACCCATACCGTAAAATATGGTATACCATAACTATGGTAAAATTTGATTAAGTCTGGGAATGGGTATAAGCTCAAAGCCGGCTTAGGTATAATTTTTACATAAAATTACCTTTCTTCTGTTTGAACTTCATACGGAGAGTAGTTTGAGTCATCAGTGTTTGAATCAGAATTAGGATTACTGAAAAGGTCGTTGGATAGTTGGCAATTAAAATAATGGGTAGAATGATTTGAAGAGCTACCACTTTCCGTAGTTAGCAGACTTGATGTATTCCAACTCCCTTGAGAAGTCGATAAACTTAATGTAGAGCTATTACTTAATAGAATTAAGGATTCAGATTTGTTACGGGACATGCTTTTTGATGAATAAGTTTCTTTGGGAAACGATTCTTGGTAAATGTTACTTGACAATCTAAAAATATCTTTTTTCAGATATTCGGATGGATCCTCTTCCTCTTCTTCATCAGATGTCTTTTGTATATCTGAATTATTGATAATATCACTGGATGTATGAGTTGCAGTATATATACAGTGTGTGCCATCATCACTTGTGGTCTTGTATGTACAGAATATCGTGTTACTAGTAGCTTGCGCTACATTCTTATGGACTTTAAGATCACTATTGGAACATAGCCGACCATTGTTTATGTGTTTATATAAAATTTTGTTGCCTGCTTTATTTGTAGTAAAACTTCCATATTTAAAATAAATGTCATCAAGTAATTCTTTAACTAATGCCGCTCTTGAATAAAGAGGTACGCCAATAGCTGACCCAACAATAAATCGAATGCCTCTATTGTTCACGAAGGCTTTAGTGTTAACTCCCGAATTAAAACAGTCGGTGGATGATATGTCTGGAGATGCAACTATAATTTTAATGTAACTATTTTTAAACTTGATTTTCTTTTTGTTACAATCGCAGCCTCGTTCATAAGTTGTCTTCACAGGGATATGCATATCTTCAGTTCCTATTCGTTTTTCAAGAGATTTTGTTACTATTACATATTTGTTATTTTCATTTTTTTTAGATGATGTTGGCAAAGGCAGAAAACCTGTTTCAAAGTCTTTCTCAAATTTGCCTCCAAGATGTGTTGAAAGTTTTTGCAAATTTGTTTTTTCACGTGATGTTTTTGGATATGGCATACTTAAGTGAGTTCTTGTTTTGTTTAATAAGAGATTCTCAAAAGATACTTTGCTTTCTGATAAAGGCGTTCCAGCTTCGACTTTACCTCCAATAATATTTTCCGATAGTGCCGATGTTTGATCCTTTACAGATGTTAGCAAGCCAGCTACTCTTTTAATTTTCTTAGGTGGAACTTTGTATTTTTTCCGAGCCTTTATTTTTACAAACAGCACTTTCTCTCTGGAAGTTCTTCTTGTAGATAGAGGTAATCTATGGTCTGCCAAACTTCGAAAAATATTTTGTTCAGGACTTTTTTTTTCAAGTGGTATTACATAATCAGACTTTGGAACTTTACATAACTTTTTAGTACTTTTTGAAGATGAAGCTTTTGGTTCTTGTCGTAGCCCTGAATCTGGTGCTTCTAATGCTGCAACTATCACATTGTCACCATTGTTTTCTTTCATTGATGAAGTTTTCCTACTAAAAGACATTACTATACCAACAGTTTTAGTTTTTTGTAGTTGTTTTAATGGTGTTTTTAAAGAAGGGAGTTTATTTGCGCTCGACGGTAGATGCCCAGCAGTTGATCTGCTAAAAAATACTTTTTCATTCTGTCTTGGTGTTAAAATTAAAGTTGCTTTTGTTTTCTTTAACTTTTTTGTTACTGCTGTTTTGCCAGATTTCTTTACGCTGGGATAACCAGTATCAAACTTTCTTTGTTGGTTTTGTTTTGTCATAAGGTGTGTCGTGTGTTCATGTCCAGTTGCCATAAGTTTTTTTGATTTTCCGGATGGAATATTTGATGTTTTCTTTCCTTTTACTATAACTGAAATCCCCTTCTCCGACGTTCTTTTCGCGGATTTGTGCGTCACGCTCCTTTTTGACAGAGGAGTAGCTACATCCGTTAGACTTTTAAAAGATTTTTTTTGAAATAATTCGTATTCTACTGGCCGTAGTACACTAAGTTCAGTAGATTTTGCATGTTCATCTCTCATAGCAGATGTTGTAGGTTCTGATGAAAGATTCAGTTTGGTGTGAACTTTATCTGGTAGCTTTACTTCTGAAGTAGTTTTTCTTTTCACTTGTGGAGCCGTGTTTCTATGAAGAACTAAATTAGCGGCTTTTGTATTTTTTACTTTTTGCTTTGACGTTGATTTAACGCTTTCTGCTTTAACCGCCTGCCTTTTACTACCAGTGTAAGCCATAATAAAATATACATTATGTCTCGCTTGAAACTGAGGCGAGGCAACCCAAGGCTTAATTTTATTTGTAAAAGCGTTCTCACTGGATCTTTGAGTTTTCCATAAGGACACGGGCAATCCGTGTAACCTTTTTAAAAAATGTTGTCTCTCTTGTGATGCCTCTGCTTCAGTTAGTTTTAATAGTCCACTGTATTTATAATGTTTTACTTTATTTATAGATGCAGGTGTTAAGTGTCGGTCAACACAAACATCTTCTATATAGATACGTTCTATTGGTATTTTGTTATGTGGAAGAAGCAGGTATTCCTTTGATTTAGACGTTTTTTCTTCTTCAGGTGAAGTTATCAAATGACTGAGTTGTGATATAGCTAATGCAGCGCTATTCTTCAGTACCAGCTTTTTTTGAGGATCTTTTCTGTCTTCAGGGGTATCAGTAGTTATTAGATTATGACATTGGTTTTCCTTAAGCTTTTCTGCAATATGATTTATTGCTTGAGACATGACAACATCAGCTTTGACTTCACGTTTTCCTATTTGTTCTAATGCTGTTTTACTTTCAGGTGAAGGCTCTTTGACTTTATTCCTTAAAATATTTTTGTTTTCTTCCTTTACCAGCTCTCTTTTTTGTTTCGCCATTGTATCTACGAGTGATTTGCTTGTTTCTCCATGTTTCGACCCTACATGGTATAAATGACTGTTATCACATTTTTTCTTGTTTAAACAATCGTAACGATTTTGTATGCCGATGAATAATACATCCGAACTACAACAACAACAGCAATTTTCTTGCAATGCTGCAATGCTGTGATGACATTGGTATATTTTCCATTGTTTATTACCTGCGATGATCGGGTTTAGTGAATTTCTTAAGAGGCATTTGTAATTGTAATTTTCGATAGATTGCCTACTAAAAAGATGATCCGTGTTTTTTGAGTCAGGCTCAAAGCTAGTGTTTTCTCTACAAGCTGGTGTCATTCTATTTAGAAGGAGCATACTTGCACTAGAGTGAAGCCTTGTTGGTATTTTATAATTTGGTATACCAAGCCTTAAAACATGAACGAGGATGTCATTACGATCTTTCGGATAGATATGGGTTTTTATTTTCGTATGCTTTATACGTTTACATAATAAAACGGAAACGTTTTCAATACCACGAATGAGATCTTCTTCAAAATGAGTTGCTTGATTTTGCAGCTTCTTGTTAAAGTATAAACACTCAGTTGGTTTCATTTTGTACCACTGCTTCCATTTAATTCTGAATGGAGTCCAACATTTACTCTGTTTATATCCAAATATGTTGCTCAATTAACCATAACTAAATTATGGTATATACTTCACGGGATCATCTTTAATCTTCGTTATTAATTCGGAGTATTTTTTGTCAGAATTTGCTGCAACAAATCCATTTCAAGTATGATCATCGCTTGTAACTTGTAAAATTATTGATTCTTTTCTATTTGAACTTATCGTTAGCACTGGAACTAGTTAGGGGTATATAGTAAAAAATAGACATTTTAAAGTTACTTATGTATAAAATTAAATTTATGTAGTGGTGAAGGAGGTGTATTCTGATAATTATACTTTGTTGCAATTTGTGGAGACGACAGTTTCGAGTGAAATAATAGAAATATTACATGGTTTGTAATCTGGGCTTTACGTAACGACACGAAAAATGGTATTGTAAATGTTTCTTTCTTTATAAAATTAATTGATTTTTCATAAAGCGTTTAATATAAACGTATAAAAATCAACAAAGTTTAATGAAAAGTGTAATGTGATATGTATTTGTGTAGTCACAGACACAATATTAGTCCGTACCTTTCATGTCCAGTTTCTATATATTTTGTTTATATCACATCGGCGAATTTTAACCACCAATGTTGTGTTATTTTGGTACTATGTGGAATATTGCATTTTATATGTTTTCATATTTTTTTATAATGATCATGATTTTTTAACCACGTTTAAGTCATTACATGACAAATAACACTTGATAGCACATAAATATAGGAGAATTTTATTTGTATACTCTTTGGTGTATTCAAAGAGTATTAATTTTTATCACAAATGATTATTATTTTAGTAATATTTATTATAACTAGCGGACCCAACCCCTTTTAATAAAACAAAGATTTAAAAAAAAAACTAGCGGACCATATCCCCAAAAATCCCGACATATCAAATTTCAGCGAAATCGTTAGATAGCACATGCTTTATCAAGCAATCAGTGCCATCTGCCGGGCTGATTTATAAATCTAAGCCATCCAGGACGCCACTTAAACGCATACAGAAAAAAACATTGGAGGAGTTCAATTTCATACACACGTACCTACAGCACTCGGGGGGCCAAACGCCTCCTGCCGGAGGTTGTATATGGGGATTGTGCGATCCATGGCCCTCTACGGTGCCCCTGTGTGGGCGCCGGACTTGAAGCGGCGGCCGGCTCGTACGCTGGTCGCGTCCCAGAGGGTCATGGCTATACGAGTAATCCGCGGGTATCGCACGATCTCCGGGGAGGCGGCGAACCTCCTTGCCGGATCACCGCCGTGGGATCTAGAAGCGAAGGCGCTCGCGCGCGTCTACAGTTTGCGCGCAGACGCGCGTCGCCGCCGGGGCGAAGATCCTCTGCCGCGCCAAATAAGTGCGTGGCGGAATGAGCTCCGGCGAGATCTCATGGCAGAGTGGAGACAACGACTGTCGCAACCGAGGGCCGGGCACGCTACCATAGCAGCGGTAAGACCCCTCTTTGAGGAGTGGCTTAAGAGACGCCACGGCGTCCTCACCTTCCGTCTGACGCAGGTGCTTACCGGGCACGGCAGCTTCGGTAGGTTCCTGTTTCAGATTCAGCGGGAGGAAACGCCCGAGTGTCGTCATTGTGAGGACCACCTAGAGGATACGGTGGAGCATACGGTAGCGGTATGCCCTGCCTGGGCTGAGCACCGCCGTATCCTCAGGGAAGTGATCGGCGGCGGCGACCTCTCGCGCCCGGCCTTAGTCGAGGCCATGGTGCGGAGTGAGAGGAACTGGGACGCGGTCTCCTCCTTTTGTGAAGCAGTCATGCTCGCAAAGAGAGAGGCGGCCCGCGTGAGGGAGCAATCCTCCTCCTCACGCCCCAGCAGCCGCAACTGGCGACACTACGGGCGTCGGGGATCGAGGGACGATCTCCGGCCACCGTAAGTACGGGCCTGCGGTCGGCGAGTAAGGGCAGCTCGCCGCCCGACCAGAACCAGGCCCGAGCGTACGGCGCGTAGCGTTCCGCGCGCGCCTCAAAGAGCCAATAGACCACCACAGACGGGGCCCTAAAGGGCTGATGTTCAGCCGGGGTTGCGGGGTAAGCGCAATGAGGTACCGCGACCTCGGCACAGAGCAGGAGAAGGAACAGGGGGGTTTTAGTCAGTAAGAGTCTGACACTCCCTCCTGCCCGGCCCTGGGCGGGAGAAGTCATTTGATGATTTTCCCCTCACAAAAAAAAAAAAAAAAAAACGTACCTACAGCAGAATTATATATAAAGATTTTACAAGTGTGTCATAATTTTAATACAGAATGGAACTAAAATAATTAAAACATTCTTAGACATAACCTTTTAATTGTGGTAATTCGAGACACAATAGAAGATTTAATATGCCAAAATAATGCAGTGTAAAATAATCATAGTCATAATCTACATTCCTGTCATTCCTTTGCAAAATAAGTTATGCCAGGACTGCAAAAAGTTGTTTTCGATATATTAAATGCTTTTTTTTCTCTCCAAATAACATTGTCCTACTATGTCCGCAAAAGAGGTCAGAGTTCGAATGCAACGGTTCGTTGACCCACCATTGTAACCCTTAGAACATTTGGTAACCCCGGTTTTGGTATCCGAACACGAGTTCCACCTTTAATCATTATTTCCGAGAGCTCTGCAGGACATGCATACGAAAATATCTGTCAAATTAATTAAAAATATCTATCAATCATGCAAGCACGTATAATTAAATTGATGCTTTTATTAAGATTTGTTTTTTTATTCTAGGTTTAAGATTTAAGTTTTAATTTTATGTGCCTGATCTATACTAATATAAAGAGGTATTTTAAGTTTGTATGTAGGGAGTAATCTTTAGAACCGCTGGTCGGATTGTCGAAATTCTTTCACTGATAAATAGGTACAATATTCCTCTGTGTTATTGGCTATAAAACATCGCACTACGATCAAATGGAGTCGAGCAGTGGGTGAAGCCGCGCGACATTAGTTGGGCTCTTATAATTTTGTTACAGACTGTATCTTGTATTTTTGTTAGATTATTCGCGAAGATATTATGTCGTATGTCTATGGTTCATATTTTATATGCAACATTGTTTTTATTAAATGTGTTATTATAACATACTTACGTAAGTACAACTTAAGGCTTCGTTAGTTAAATAATGATTTCATATAGACTTGCTTCATCATGCGTCCCAGTTTACAATCTCCACGGTCCGTGCCCTTGTCATACAATTTTCAATTAATATTATTCGTTAGAATCAAGTTTTAAAGGTTCAAATTTGTATAAAAGCGGTCTGGTGCCTGTTGAATCTTATCTTACGGATAAACGATCAAAATTAATAAACTAAGTTTTTCATTTCATTTGCAGAATGATAAATCGGTCATTAATATAAAAAATCGACGAGCATCGACGTCTCCCTTAAGAAATTAAACAAATGTGTCTGCTGGTGCATTCTAGTTTGCAACCAACCTGGCTTGATTAAACGTTGTGATTAATTAGTGCTTATTCTTCCTTGAAGCTGTATTTGCTCAGCTGTTGAACATTATAGGCTGATAACGATGATGCAGACCGTACATGGTACAAGTATTGGCGCTGGTTGGTGAACTCCAGCTTCTAAGTGTTCCTTCCTTCTCTTCTGCTTTTTATCTTCTCTATGTAAAAACTAGAACTACATAATTAACAAAATTAATGACTAAGATATGAAAAAAACCATGTTTTATCATCAAATAACGAACATTCGTTCTAGTTATTTCGTGATTCATTTTGATGACTCACTCGTACACCTCGTTTAATGCACCCCTATCGTTAACAACCTACCCTTAATTTTAAACTTCATACCTTACCGCTGTCGTAATTAAATCGATTTTACATTGACATGCGTTGACCTAATAATATATGTCTGTTCTATTGATGTTTTTTTGATGTAATTATGTAATTGCATCTTTTGATACTTTTGATTAGATGTGGTGACAATGCAAACTGATTGAATGGTAAAGATAACTAGCTGACTTGTATCATAATTCTTAAAAGACTATTCGTATTAATACTAGCCGCCTGGTGCGTGCTATTCAACGTAATAAATGAAGAACTGTTCCAACAAAATTGTGTAAAGTTGACACTTTTATTTTTTATTTAATAGTCCAAACAAATCCTAAATATTTGGTTTGCATAGGTGAACCTATAATAGGTTTTGGTGTTATAAAATCACACGGAAAAAGGGCATAGATTTGTTTAAATGGTTTTTTAAACTACATCCCAGTACGATGGATAGGGGTCGCTCTTATCCTTACCTAGAGGTACACATAGAAGCATTTAAGATTAAGTTATAATCCGAAAAGTTGAGTCCTCACTAGTTTTTGCTCAGGTGGCAGTTAACCGCCTAAACAAATATGAATATCAACAAAATTATAACTTTTTATTTAAAACAACAGCGGTGAGTAACTGAGGAAAGCATCAGTAACTTTCTACTAGAAAAAGTATACAAGTCACGATACTTTAATCTCAAAAGTTTACCGAGTATAAATAACAACGTAACATAAATGATAAGCTGTAATAAATAAATAATGTAGTGGTTTAAGAACTTTATTACATCAACTTAAATGTAATTGCATTGAGGATACTGAACAGTTTCAAATGTATTGATAGTCAATTATAACCGGGCACAAAATTATACATTTTTAGTTTAGATATTGTTTACAGTACGTGTTTTGTGCGAATTATTTCGTGGAAATAAAGTTGTTAAATCGAAATGTAGCGACATCAATAGCTTACACAGAAAAAAACATCACATCCTTATACGGGGCATTAAGTTTAAGTTGTCGTACGCGAGTCTAACCCCGAAATCACCAGCTTTGCAGCTGGTCACTTGGCAGGCAATTACATCGGTATTAATTATGAATTCTATATTTTCTGCCTGCGACAAGATCTCATCAGCTGTTTTAAATAGTATTTTCTTTTAAATTCATATCCGAAAACGTAGAATTCATGACAATAACTAAATACGAATACAATTTTTTTTTACAAAACTTTATGGCCCTTTTTTGGGTGCGTTTACAAACATACAATTTCACATACACATCACACCCAGACCCGGAACAACAATTTGTGGATCACACAAAGAGTTGTTCCGTGAGACAGTCGAACTTGCGACACGTTGCGAGGCCGTCAATTGTACAGCCACCGCGCCAAACGTGCTTTCAAAATTATTTATTGTGGTACCATAGGTAAACAAATAGTTGTTACACGTTTCCGAGATTGGACACATTTATGACCGATTTTTTTTTTGTGAGGGGAAAATCATCAAATGCCTTCTCCCGGCCAGGGCCGGGCGGGAGGGATTGTCAGACTCTTACTGACTAAAAACCCCCTGTTCCTTCTCCTGCTCTGGGCCGAGATAGCATTGCCTCATTGCGCTTACCCCGCAACCCCGGCTGATGACCGATAATATCATAAGTACAATAAGAATAATACATGTGTTTATATATGAAATGACGCCTTTGAATAAACCTAAACATTAATTAATTATATTTATACATATATGAAAAAAGCTTTTGTTATCTTTCAATGCTTTTAAGAAAAGGAAAGTTACACTCTAAAGATATAATGGAAGGAGAATATTTAATACAATAGATAAGGTATCAATTACACCTATTGTTCATTGTGAAAGGGTGCAAAGTTAAGCCGTGGGCGCGAGTTGCGACCTTCACAAGAAAAACTAAGGACAGAGAGTACATGATAATATATACATTATTAAATAATTATATAAATTTAAGTGTGGGAGAGCCATGCTTCGTCACGAATGGGGCGGCTCGACTGGAGTGATACCACGGCCTCACAGAAACCCTGCGTGAAATAACCGCAGCGTTGTGTTTCCCCCTGTGAGTGAGGTTACCGGAGGCCCAATCCTTCCCCTCCCTCAATCCCTCCTCAACCCCTAAATCTCCAAATCCCTAATCCCTAAAAGGTCGGCAACGCACTGGTAATTTCTCCGTTGTGGGTGTCCAGGGCGGTGTTGATTGCTTACCATCAGGTAATCCACCTGCTCGCTTGCCGACCTATTTATTAAATAAAAAATTACATCGGTATCAAAAACTTTACGTTTCAAATGAATATATTAGTATAGTTGTGAATACTTGTTTTTACTTCAGGGATAAATTTTTCTGTTTTTTGATGGTCAGTAGTGAGATCGGGTCATGTTTTGTCATCTGGTAAAGAGCCTACACGATTAAATACACTGCAGGCTTTGTTTCACTTTCCCCGTTATCCCGGTAAGCCCTTGGTATCACTTCGTTCTATCCATAAATTAATAGTCATTAGTTAGGAGTGACGAAAATCGGCTGTGTTTTTGTTCTCAAACCTCAGAAAGCACGTACAGATTTTCGTCCAGCAACTGTCCTCGCTTGGTTCGTGTCATTTTGCAATTTAGTAAGATTATCAGATTGTTGGAACAGGGAGGGCACCGGTGTTCAAGGACACATTTATGCACTATATTACTTGCCTAGTAGAAAGATACACTGGCACTGAAATCGACCGGATCTTAGAAGAAAATATTGGTAGGTTTATAATTTTAAATAAATATTGTTTTTTGTTCAAACTACATAATGCTCCAATAACATAACTCATTTTTAAACGTGAAAGTCGAGCAAAATTTTAATACCTGATAATATTTACGCGGATTTACTGTCGCAACCGCGTCGCGTTAGTACATATAATAACATTTATCGCTCGAATTTTGATCGCCTGCGCGGATATTTCTATGACTCAGGACCTGTTTTTACGTCAATTTTATAAACTAGTTTTGTCGCTGAAAGAATACTCGACTATCTGAAATGGTTACTTAGTACTGTTCAGTAAGGCGAGCGAAAGTACACACCAAAGCGTATAATATATTATCTATCTATAGTAATATTATAAAGCTATAAAGTCTGTTTGTTTCAACGCGCAAATCTCCAGAACACTGGTTCGAATTGTGTTCTTCTGTAGTTCTTTTATATTCGGATGGCTATATAGGCTACTAGCTATTCTCGCGCGGTTTCACCCGCTGCTCAGCTTCATTTGATGGTAGCGTGATTTTTTATTGCCTTTAGGACTCGGGAACATTGTAGCTATCTATCAGTGAAATAATTTTGGCAATCCGACCAGCA